GTGATTATTAGACGCCTTCATTATAGCCATCTTTCTCTATCGCACGGATTTCTATGACTTTCTTTATCGCTCTCACGTAACGGCAGATGAAGAATGGGAACTTTCCGACCCTGTATACTCGTATCTATAAGTAAGTGTGCACTTCACGGGAATAGTGACCTGGCACCCCGTTCTGCATGAATCACATGTTCTGTCTGATGTCTAAAGGCCAAATTTCTGTTTCATCAAAAGTTCAGTTCGCAGGAAATTTAAATAAGAATTACCGTTTAGATTTGGTGTTAAATCATATGGACGCAAGTAGTGGTCTTGTATGATACCACACATACATTAATTTTATATTAATATTGAAAGTGTGGCTCCCTGCTAAGTTTTCATTTTCAACATCCCAGTAATGCCAATTTCTCCCTGTTGAATAATCCTCGCCGGGTGACAGTTGCTTCATCCGAAGAAAAATATGTTAAAAAAAATTCTGATTTTCGTTTTGTGAAGAAATTTTGTAAACTCTAGTTGTGCGGGAAGATCTGTGAGTAACAAATTTTGAACTGGAATGAAATGAAATGGTCGCATTTTTGAACGCCCAATCTGGCTCTTGGGATGAAATTCTCCAGTTTGTCCTTATCTGTCAAAGATATTTTTAACAGTTTGACTATTTGGTTGGATCCGTCAAGGTATGTACTCACTCGTATGTCAGACGAGCACGTCTGCCACAAAATTATCTTGTGCATAAACGCTTATCATGTCACGCATTTGAGTTTTAGAAAAATCGCTGTGGCGGGGCATTATGAATGAAGAATTCTGTAGAAACTCAACAATAATCCAGATTTTAACACTAATTACATAAACTGGTTCTTAATTGCTTCTGTTTTTATTTGCCGGCCTAGTTTCTGCAAATATCTCGAAAACGGTAATTCCTGGCGACATTAAGAGATTAGATAGATCATTTAAGAAAACTGAAAATGTAACTAGGTAACTATCAGCTTTTAGATTAAGGTAAGTTTGGACAGATCACATTTGGACAGATCCTTTGTTTTTGAGACGGATATGGAAATAAACAGGGTGTTTCAGTCATAATGTCATTAATTAAGGGAAGATAGGAAAAATGAGTAGAATACGAATATACGTTTAAAAAAAATTAAATGCATATTTACACTGAAAAAAAATTTTTAATCATTATTTCCCTTTTCGGGCCACTCCTGACCCCTAACCTACCTATTCTTAATGTTTTCACTATCTTGTAATTGAATATGAATTTTTAGTATTACATTTCGTATTGTATTTAAGTTATGTATACCCTATTGTGTAACTTGCTACTTTTCAGAGTTGTATGGTACCTATTTATTTAAATACGGCTAAAAACACTCATTCATTCGTCTATATTCTAAGGCTGAGATCCTATATTAATAAGGCTGAGATCCGTTGCACTATGATTTTGAAAGCAATTGTAAAACTGGACGAGACGACGATTAGGAAATCAGCTATTTCGCTACAATGTCCGATTGCTTTGTCCTCCGCCGGCCAGCCGGCGCGATCTCTATTATGAAATGGTGTGCCGAGTTAACGGCAGTTAAGGGGTGACTTGCTTATTTTTTAAAAGGTCGAGAAAAAACACTTTTTTTTATTTTCTGTCTTTATTAGGTCTTCCGAATACGTAGTTAAAATTAACGACATTATGACTAAAACACCCTGTTATACGGGCTGTACAGAAGCAAATCGATTTAGACCAAATTACGTTAGTACCCCTTCCCTTAAAAAGTTGTCGACCTTCTAATCACATTTTTTTTTCAAAACTCTCGTCACTTTCTTATTTATTGCAATTAATATAGGAGGATTTTTGGAGTAGCCAAATATGAATATGAGCTTCATTTTTCCTTAAAGCATAGAGGTCGCTGAAAACATCTTAGGTGATCTTTTGTTCGCTATTTTTTTCTGCAGTACGCATATGTTTCTTGAAATACCACTTTATCAAATTTAAAAAAGTGTACATACTTGTTAAATGCCAATAAAATCCATAATTCTAGAGAAAAATGGATTTGGGGCTTTTCCAGTCGAATTAAATTTTATGGTTGTACATTTTAATAGCCTATATTTCAATAAACAGTAAACACTGATTTTTTAACTGCCGAATTACGTAAAAACATCAAAACTGTAAAAACATTTTCATACACAGAAGACATGTTTCAAAATTGAATAAATTTTGCAGTAATTGGTTTTTGTACTAGACAATAACAGTAAAATATTTAGGGAGTAGAATTTTCGAAAATCGTATTCATTCAAAAAGTACTTAGTATACAGGGTGGGCACTTTAAAGGTACATTCTATTAGTATCTCCTGAACTAAAAGATTTACAGGGTTGATGAAATTACAAGAAAATTGCATATTTTCATTCCATTTCGGATTATGAAATGAGATTCGAGATAAGTTCCTGAAATAAGCTGAAAAAACTGAAAATTTGTTCCATATCTTTTTTATTATCGAAGATAGAGTATTGAAAATCGTTATGTATACATAAGACGAAATGTCAAAATTTTCATCTGTTGTTTCATGGCTACTTCGATTAAATAAATCATAAAGTTGATGTTTTTTGTCCCTTAATACATAAAATCCGTTAATTCAACTACTACACATCGTTGAACACGAAATTTAATGCTTCGTCTAATTTGGTAATAAAAACACAAGCATCTAGTAGAACTGGAAGCTGATTTAACCTCCCAACTGATAGAGCAGATCGTCTTATGTATACATACTCTACATTCAATAATAAAACAGATATGGAAGAAATTCTTCTAAGAGAAGTTTTATTTTTTTTTTTTTATTTCAAGAACGGTGCAAGTTTTTCATAATCCGAAATAGTATGAAAATATGCAACTTTCTTGTAATTTAACCAAAATCTTCTACTTCAGGAGATGTTAATGGTGTACCTACACCTTAAAAGTGACCACACTGTATAATAGTTTCTTTAAGATATGGGTAGATACATCTCAAGGAATTTTCGGAAGGTAAATGAAAAGTGATTGTTCCAGTAATTTTATGATATATTTTTTGTATATACAACTATAATTTTCACCTAATGTAGATACATATAAACAAAATGCTAAATTTAATTCCGTAGTATAATACGACATTATTAAAAAATCTCTCTAGATGTATTAGTGCGTAAACCTACTTGTGCGTAAAATTGTTCTCAAATCTTTGTGCCATAAAAAAATCTAGTTTCTTTACAAAATTGATATTTTGACGATATAAGATCTAAATTATATATACTTGGTTTATAATATTTCTATCATTTTCTTAGGTGCAATATAAAATTTACATTATTGCAGAAATTAAATTGATACAATTTATAAAACCATTTTTATGCATCATAAAAATATCACTATAGGTATTGCCTCGATATGACTTGATTCAGCTAAATCCTACAAATCTACTTATAACTAATAGACGGATATTTCCCTTTTCTTCTCTGTGTTATCTGTAACACAAGTGGGTATAGCATTCGACCATTTCCCATTCTTTAAACACTTTAACATTGCTGCTCCTCTCAGTTGCAAGCCTTCTTCGCAGGTAAATGTTATGTTTTCTCCTATTTTGTAATAGAACTTGACAGAGGACATCCTTCCGCTAATTGTTGTTCCAGGATATGAACATGCCTGAACGCCTAGAATAAATAAATGTATAATGCGAGGTATAATGTAATCGGGTATGAAATAACTACATAGATAAAAAGATCTGTGACCAGCGCTGAAATAGTTACCTAGACCAAAAAGTCGAATTTTTATGGTCAAGTTTATTGGTCGGCAAGACCGAGGTGCATATTAAATTTTTAACAATTACAAGATGCACTATTTTCTTAATAAAAAAGCTTATTTTCGTTTTTTAATAGTATCTTGCTTATTGCTACAGAGGACCCAACAAACCCTATATAACTATGCTCGCGAGAGAACGTTCTATTCTATACAGGGTGTTCTATTTAACTTAACAAAGTTAACATCCGCGGCCATTTTGTTTGGACTTCATTTGTTTTTCTACTATCATTTTCGAAAAATTCATAAAAAATCGTGCAACTTTTATATTTCACATTTTTTTTGTCTTAAAACAAAAAAGTTAAATTGAGGGTCNTTCAAAATTGAATAAATTTTGCAGTAATTGGTTTTTGTACTAGACAATAACAGTAAAATATTTAGGGAGTAGAATTTTCGAAAATCGTATTCATTCAAAAAGTACTTAGTATACAGGGTGGGCACTTTAAAGGTACATTCTATTAGTATCTCCTGAACTAAAAGATTTACAGGGTTGATGAAATTACAAGAAAATTGCATATTTTCATTCCATTTCGGATTATGAAATGAGATTCGAGATAAGTTCCTGAAATAAGCTGAAAAAACTGAAAATTTGTTCCATATCTTTTTTATTATCGAAGATAGAGTATTGAAAATCGTTATGTATACATAAGACGAAATGTCAAAATTTTCATCTGTTGTTTCATGGCTACTTCGATTAAATAAATCATAAAGTTGATGTTTTTTGTCCCTTAATACATAAAATCCGTTAATTCAACTACTACACATCGTTGAACACGAAATTTAATGCTTCGTCTAATTTGGTAATAAAAACACAAGCATCTAGTAGAACTGGAAGCTGATTTAACCTCCCAACTGATAGAGCAGATCGTCTTATGTATACATACTCTACATTCAATAATAAAACAGATATGGAAGAAATTCTTCTAAGAGAAGTTTTATTTTTTTTTTTTTATTTCAAGAACGGTGCAAGTTTTTCATAATCCGAAATAGTATGAAAATATGCAACTTTCTTGTAATTTAACCAAAATCTTCTACTTCAGGAGATGTTAATGGTGTACCTACACCTTAAAAGTGACCACACTGTATAATAGTTTCTTTAAGATATGGGTAGATACATCTCAAGGAATTTTCGGAAGGTAAATGAAAAGTGATTGTTCCAGTAATTTTATGATATATTTTTTGTATATACAACTATAATTTTCACCTAATGTAGATACATATAAACAAAATGCTAAATTTAATTCCGTAGTATAATACGACATTATTAAAAAATCTCTCTAGATGTATTAGTGCGTAAACCTACTTGTGCGTAAAATTGTTCTCAAATCTTTGTGCCATAAAAAAATCTAGTTTCTTTACAAAATTGATATTTTGACGATATAAGATCTAAATTATATATACTTGGTTTATAATATTTCTATCATTTTCTTAGGTGCAATATAAAATTTACATTATTGCAGAAATTAAATTGATACAATTTATAAAACCATTTTTATGCATCATAAAAATATCACTATAGGTATTGCCTCGATATGACTTGATTCAGCTAAATCCTACAAATCTACTTATAACTAATAGACGGATATTTCCCTTTTCTTCTCTGTGTTATCTGTAACACAAGTGGGTATAGCATTCGACCATTTCCCATTCTTTAAACACTTTAACATTGCTGCTCCTCTCAGTTGCAAGCCTTCTTCGCAGGTAAATGTTATGTTTTCTCCTATTTTGTAATAGAACTTGACAGAGGACATCCTTCCGCTAATTGTTGTTCCAGGATATGAACATGCCTGAACGCCTAGAATAAATAAATGTATAATGTAATCGGGTATGAAATAACTACATAGATAAAAAGATCTGTGACCAGCGCAGAAATAGTTACCTAGACCAAAAAGTCGAATTATTATGGTCAAGTTTGTTGGTCGGCAAGACCGAGGTGCATATTAAATTTTTAACAATTACAAGACGTATTATTTTCTTAATAAAAAAGTTTCTTTTCATTTTTTAATAGTCTAGTTTAATAGTAATATCTTGCTTATTGTTACAGAGGACCCAACAAACCCTATATGACTATGCTCGAGAGAGAACGTTCTATCCTATAGAGGGTGTTCCATTTAACTTAACAAAGTTAACATCCGCGGCCATTTTGTTTGGACTTCATTTGTTTTTCTACTATCATTTATATTTCACATTTTTTATAACTCTTAAAACAAAAAAGTTAAATGGGGGGTCAAAATATAGTGAATCACCCTGTACATCAGTATTTTATGTATGTAGCTGAGCCAAAAAGTTGCACTTTTATGGACGAGCCTATTTTTGTCGTCCAAACTGCCAACACGCTGACTAAGCCATCAATATTTTGGCTGGTTTTAGATACATGACATGACATGACTTAAAATGCAAGTCCGTAAAGCTGCATTTTATGGTAAGGTGGAGAGAAGCGCAGACAAGATAAGTTCAAAACTTGCATGGGATTGTTTACAAATGCTGACTGAACTGGCCACCAATAATACAGTTAGACTGTGTTGGGCGCCAGGACACAAAGGCATTTGTGGAAACGAGAAAGCGGATGAACTTGCTAGGAAGGGATCCGAGACAGAGTTCATTGGCCCGGAGCCCTTCTGTGGTACATTTCCCAGTGTGGTCAGGCGGGCTCTGGGCAAATGGACCGAGACAGGACATAGGAAATACAGGACTTTAAGGCCAGGACATAGCCATTCTCAGGAGCTCATGGAGTATCCTTCGAAGGAAAGAGCAAACGATTTACTGAGCTTGAATAAAATTCAGCTCAGGAGAGTGACGGGACTCATAAGGGGACACTGTCACTTTAGGAAACATCCACATAAGCTAAAGCTTGTAGACAGCCCGGTCTGTCGAGGATGTGACTCGGCAGATGAAACTTCTCTGCATATCCTAGGCGAGTGCCCGGGATTTGCACGTAGTAGAATGACGCTCCTGGGGAAACCCTATTTGGAACCCAAGGAACTGAGAGAAGTTTCAGCGAAGAAGCTTTTGGATTTTGTCAAAAGGACAAAACTACTTGCTGAATAGGACTAGTAGTGGGACGCACAATAGGCCTAATTAGGCCGCGGTGCCATGGGATTTATTAGGACCAACCACTAGATAAGAAGAAGAAGAAGAGAGAAAACTACTTTTTATTGGGCAAGGAAAGTTTGATATGCTAGGACATACTCGATTAAGTATGCATTATTTCTAAATCGCATGACTTAAACAGTATGGTATTTATTGATAAAAATTAAAGAATCATTGTACCGAGCAACTTTTTACAGGAAAATATTTAATTAGCGACATACCATCGCACCTACACAAGTGCAATTTAGATGGCACACAATTTATCATACCTCATCATTATGTAAATATTTATGAACGAAGACAGCAAGTGAAAAATTAAAAAAATAATATTCATATATAGTCTGTTTAGAAATGAAAGAGAGTAATAAAAGCTTATTATGTATGCAAATCGTAAATAAATGTAGTACTGGTGCTTATATTCAATATTTATATATTATGATTTATCGGTATAGATGAGGTGTACTTTTAAAAAAACTTTGTGTGACCGGGTTGTACTAAATTGTACCAGGTAGCTAAAATTTAATCCCCGACAATNGATTACAGTAATTCTGCCCAGTAGACAGTAACCATCAACAACAAAAATAAATACTCTTGTTGGAATTAATAAGAATTTTTAGATCCTCAATTTTATACTACTTAAGACTCTATTTCCATCGTTATACCAATGTATGGTGTGGCACTTTATACAGAATTAATTATTAGCACGTTTTAGTTTTACCACAAGTGGACAGACGTATCTGCATGTTATACTTTGTCGTTTTTAGGTTATGTTCTTATTCTCTCATTCTATTTATTCTACTTCGTGTGATTCTGAATTTGAAATGTTGCCTATTCCATTAGTTCAGTGTATAAGTTTATTTCCATTGTGTTGAAATGAAAATTGTATTCTACCAATATTTTAAATTTTCTGTGTATTTTAATGTTTCTTATTGACCTTCGTAAATGTTGTATACACTAAGACTAAAGTAAATAATGTAGAGGCACTAAAGTAATAATTTTTAGTGTTTCATATAAATTCTACATATTTTAAATGTCGGCTATGATTCATTGAACAAATTTATTATCACTGTTAATTATTAAAGTTTATTTTCAGTATTGCAAATCAAATTTTTTACTTTCTCCTCGAGTGGGTTACAATAAATTTACGCCTATTTTTTTATAATTCGTTTAAACAGCTTTTTCGCAATCAACGTAAAAATTAATGAAAACAAAATATGAAATGTTACTTCAATTTAAAACAAACCTATTGAAAACTATAACAGCACCATGAAAGTATTATTGGTATATTGATAAGAAATACAACATATTATTATCAAAAACATGCCATTAAATACCATACATTAATGTTTTTAACGTGTTATTTAAATATCCTTTAAAGAAATAATTAGAAAATAATAATTTTGACAACAAAAAAAATTCTAAACTACCGGCAAAGGCAAGTCAATAATAGTCAGTTGCACCGGCGTTATTTAAATTTTAAGATATATTGAAATTGCAAAGTATGTATATATGTTATGGACCAAGTGATTAATGCGGGCATTATTAATAATGCGCGAGCATTATAAATAATGTCTAGCTAAGTGATTAATTACTATCTAAACTTCATTATTTATCACATTGCACGGTCATTATTATATTGCTACGTGACAATTGGGCAATTTGATAATAAAGCTAAATGTGACAGTCTGATAAATGTAGTTGTCGCAAAGGCAAAAAGTTGTGTACCTCAAAATGCCATCATAGTTGTTCTAATAAATAGCTCTGTTACTTACTACATATTGTATAATTATTGTTTTCAATTTTATGTTCTATTTTCATTTGACTTTTATTAAGTTTAAAGTGCTGAAAACTCTTAGATGCTAATTATGCCAAATAATGAGTCTGATTGCTTAAACTTTAGTTTATTTTATGTTTTATAATAATATGTCAAAACTTCTATAAAACAAAGATATGTTGTGAAATGTTTGTTTTAAATTTTATATGTTTTATGTTACGTATATTTTTAATATGACTTTCCTTAAGTTTTAAATGCAGAAACTAGTGGATTTTTAATGTAGAAGTCTTTGCTAATTGATCCAAATAATGAGTCTGATTATTTAAATTGTTTAACATTTAGTTTATTTTAAGTTAAATGACAATAATAAAAAAATAGTAATTAAATATGTTTGTAGGTATTACTCTGCCCAAAAGCTGATGGACAATATGTATAATGCCCGGTCAATTTGATTATTTGAATAATTATTATCAAATTGCACACTCATATTGGGCATTTTACATAATTACCGGGCATTATGTATAATGCCCGATTTATCACTTGGTCCATAACATATACATTCCATATTACTTTCAGCTTTAAGAAACTTTGTATGAAGCTTTGTTTAAAACATTACGAAAATTACTTTGCAATTTAAGCACATTTTAAAATCCAAATAGCGATACCCAAGCAATATACTGCATTAAAAATAAAATTACAGAACTTTATCTCAAAAAATAGGAAGTAAGCGTAATCCATACGCAGTAAGTCTATTTTAAAGTGTTTAAAGTGAATGTCATCTTGTGCATTTACCTAATGCGTTTCAAAATTACAAAACTAACACTAGATTTCTTCTTTGTAATATAGCATAATTGAATTTTATCTTTAGAATTAGCATTATGTTGTGCTTTTATATTGTTACTTTATTTTGTGACATATGTCTTAAAAAATTATATTTGGCTTAAACACATTTGTGTTTTTATGAACAATGAATTCATCCAACTACTTTTCCTAAGTACTTTGTGCGCTGAAATAAAAATAACTCGGATCGACCATTTATGCCCAATTGCTAATAATGCGTAAGTCGAACCTTAACCTTGAAGTTGACGTTATAAAAATTCAATAGTATCATTTATTTTGATTCTATATTTATATCATGCCAAGTAATATTGTAAAAATTAAAAAAATATTATATCAATACTGAGATTAGTAAAAAAAAAATAATTTATCTTGTAAATTGCTACAAAAAAAATATTAAGATGGGTCTCTATAAATTAATTAATGTTCATGATTCACTTTCATTAACCATGGAAAGTCGCTAATACAATTGATGGAATTATATTGCTATAGCATTAATCAAGACTATACCGAATATGCAACCCATAATCTTACCATTCAGTTATAAATTATCGATTTCTTTCACTTTTATTCACCTACTGTATAGTACTTTAGTGAAAAGCAATTATTTAAAGCTATAGATTTTAACATTATGTCTCATCCGATGATATATTACAATAAGAACATAATTAATCTACTAATTCTTTGACGAGAAAGAATTATAGACTGTACAAAATGTAAACAAATACCTAATTCTGAATTGCAGAAAATCTGAAAAATTTATTTCTGGGTACCCTGCAAATGTTGCAGTTTGTATGATATAAAAACGTTTGGGAAAATAAACATACAAAATAATACAATACAATAACGATAATAAAATATAAATTAGATTCGGAAAAATTGAATGAGAAAAAATTTATGATACTGCAATGAATTACCAAATGTACTGTAAAGAGTCATAAACTCTATAACTTTGTGTACTTTAACTCGACATCACAAGATCAGAAATCGAGAACAGTGGCAAAGTATTTTATATTCTGATTTAACCGTTATTCTTTTTCAAATCAATTAATAGTTAATGTGGTTTGGGGTGGTATTGCGCTACTTGCATCTAGTAAATTCTCGAACATAAGTGAGAATATCGATCAGGGTGTCGTGTGACTATGACACCGCATAACATATTAATGATATAGAAACTATTATACATTAGCCCAGAAAATACTGCTTGTAGTGTCCAAAGTATGTATAAGTAACTTACATTTTGGTAATTTTCCGGACCATCTCGAATTTTCTTGACAAGCTATAATAGGCTGCCCTTCCATCATGTAATCAGGATTACAATTGAACTGAACCACATCTCCTGCTTTGAACGGTCCACTTCCTTGAATATATCCATTCTCTGGTGGAGTCGGATTGTCGCAATGAACTTCTAAAGAAAACAAATGCAGTCAACATATTTTATCATTAAATGCTAATATATTCAAATGGTATCAGAAAAATATATCCCACGAAGAAAATCACCCAAATGTGAATAATCATTTTGAATAAAATTCTGAGATTATTTGTTATACCTGTAAATTAAATTAGTATTACGAAGAATTTAAACTTATAAATGTTTCAGATAATTTTATACTTTATAAAAATTATATACAATATCTTTCTTACAAACAATACATATTAGTTACGTAGGTATTCAAAAAGTATTTTGATAACAATACAACATTAATTGTAATGCCTATATGCGTTTAAATAAAATTAATTAACTATAATATGAGTACATCTACATGGTTGTTACATGGTACGTCAATTATTAGAATTATTTCTAAAAATAAATATTATCCGTTAGATTCACATGTTGTTTTGTTATTATACTACACCACGTTTTTATAATTAAAGGTGTTATGCGTCAAGTTGAAATGGAAAACACGTGTTATTATAATGTACTGGTACTTACAGAACAGCACAGTATTAAGCATAGGACATATTCACATTAACATGTGACGTATTAAAACGTATCTACGGATTTCTCTTCGTTGTTGTCTCCCTGTTTGTCTCTGTTTGTCCTTTGCCGAGATGCTGTATGCAGCGAGATCCTGGAATACACTCTTTCAGATCGGCTTGAGAAAGGATGATATTTATCTTTCTTGAGTTATAGGCGGTATTAATAGTGTACTAATCTGTCTTGAGCTGTTATAGGTGGTACTAATAGCGTATATTTATTTCATTTGAGAGTTGATCGTAGGTGATGTAGTTCCTCGATCAAGACTTCAGACATCTGTCCATGTGAATGACTTTCTGTAAGCACTATATCCTAGGGTACCATTCGGTTTGCTCTTGACATCTAAAAACGGAGGGGAATTGTTTTCTTCCAACTTCATGTCGAAGGTGACGTCCGAATGTATTCCATTAGTGTAGTCCAAAAATTCTTATAGGTTGCTATCATGAAGCCAGATGAAAAATGTATCGTCAGTATATCTTAATAAACACTTCGACTTTAGAATTGCTGACTCCTAGGCTTTGCTATAGACATTTGCAATAGTTGGGGAAAGGGTGAATGCATACCTACTTCTTCAGTTTGTTCATAAGATTACTTTCTAAACCAGAAGAAAGTGGTGTACACTTTTTCTGAATCTACTAAATTGTTGTATAAACGTCTGAATATGGTTCGGGCTGAGGCAGTACAGTATTGGGGGTCTTGAAGGTTTGAAAAAATGTAATAAAATTTTCGGGGTTATATTTGTAAAAATGAAGTTGATGAGGTCCTGGAGAGACCAAACATTAGATAAAAAAATTGATTATGCCATTCGATTGAGGGCAAAAAGTTGCCATGAGAAAGTGTTCTTCTTTTTTGATATCGCCTCAAACCAGTTCGGTTTTTCAAATATTTCGAAAACTAATCATGTTAGCCTTGATTTTTTAAAGGCATAATGTTGGTCCCCTGATTACGCAACTTTACCCTCATTTCGTATCTCCTTTTGGAAAAATCGCTCGAATAGGTCAATTTTGTTTCTTTGAGGGATTAATTTCGGTGAAATTAAATTTTTCAAAATGTAACTAGTGGCGATGGGTGGGGGATATTGTTGCTTTTTTTAAATGACAACCACCTTTTTTATTGGACCGTATGAAAACTTAGGTCTTTCTGATTAATTTGATGTGCTTAAATATAGGTTGGTCGGGAAAATTTGGAAAAAAATCGAAAAAAACTTATTTATTTTTTCCGAAGGTATATACACATTTTGTTGAAATAGCTCCTCTTTTTATTTGATTTAAATGAATCAAATGTTCAAACTGCCGACCGCCTGCATCCTAACGACTCTCTTTGCACATTCCTAATTGTTTCAGGTGGTATTTGCCTGGTCTCATGGCGAATGCTTTACTTTAGGTCTTAAATGTTGTCTGGCCTGTCACGATATACCTTGCTTTTCAAATATCTTCACAAGAAAAAGTCAGCTGAGGTTAAATCGGCAGACCTTGCCGCCCCCTCAATTTCCCCTCTTCTCTTGCATTAATTCGAAAAATTCCATATATCTAATTGAATATTTTCGTGTACTGTGGGGCGACCTGTTCTGGGAAAATTTAATGACCCCAGAACCTAAATTTTTGCAAAATTCTTCCTACAGTAGACCTGTGTATCTGATACCAGGATTATTAGCATTAAAAATATCATGAACCTCAATTTCAGTTGGTTTCCGATCGCCATACCTTGTTAATGACTCCATTCGAAAAATTCTTGTTTAAAAAGACTGATTTTCCTATAGGAAAAGTAATTGCCGAAGTTATTGGAACGCTTCAGTTTTGACTTTGACTTTTAACACTTTAATAAATTAATTAACCGACCCGCTACATGTAGCACACCAAAGTAATCAGAAAAACCTAAGCTTTCATACGGTTCAATAAAAACATGGTTGCCATATAAAAAAACAACCCTATCCTCCTCCCACCGCCAATGTTTCACCGAAGTTCATACCCCAAAAAAACAAAATTGACCTGTCCGAGCGATTTTTCAAAAAATTGCCAGTTTCCGAAATGCATGACTTTTGAGACACACTGTATATATAATTGCAGCGTTGGAACGTGAGTGGTCGGTGTTAATGTACGATTGCAATTGTTTTAAGTGGTGAAGTTTATTATTGTCTATAAATGTTTAGTAAGTATTATTAACCTATGTACGGAGCGTTGTTATAACTGTTTTCCATTGAATCTTGAACAATGGTATTTTAAAAACAGCAAAGAATAGAATTCAAACAAAGAGAAGTTAATTCTGATAAAGCCATAAAATATGGAGGTGTTAACAATGCATAATGACAACTTGTGTATTGTTTGTAGATCTTCTTGACTTATTAATAGTTGCACTATAGAATCCAAACTTCGAATATGAAATTTTCAAAGTTAACAAATTTTTATATATTTCATGATACACAGGGTGTAACATAANAATATCCGAACAGAGAACCTGTAAGTCAGTCTACAATCAGTAGAATTGAGGCTAAGTGGAGAGAGACTGGAACTGTTAAGGATCTTGGCAAACCTGGTAGGCCCGGCGTTCCTACTGACAAAAAACTGGATATCCTGGTTTCATTAAAGGAAAATCCTAACCTCTCAAGTACTCAGCTCGCTTTAGATAATACAGTTCATAGATCGACTAACAAAATTTTTAAAGAAGGAAAAGTGGCACCCTTATAAAATTCAATTACTTCAAGAGCTACTTGAAGATGATCCAGATCGCAGAAACGAGTTTTGCCAGACCATGACCGAAAGAACTGATAATAACCCTAGACTAGTAAAACAGATATGCTTTTCAGACGAGGCAACGTTTTGTTTGAATAGAGAAGTAAATAGACAAAATTTTAGGTACTGGGCACCAGCAAATCCACACTGGTTTACGGAAAGTCATTCTCAGTATAATGAAAAGGTGAATGTATGGGCAGGGATTATTAATAACAGAGTAATAGGACCATACTTCTTTGAAGGATCTTTGACGGGAGAATGTTATCACGACTTTTTAGTAAACGACTTGATTCCAGCACTGGCGACACTGTATCCTGATGAAAATATGCCAGACATGCCAAATCAAGCGTTATGGTTTCAACAGGACGGGGCACCGCCCCATTATGCTGCGATTATTGGAAGATTCCTAGATAATGTTTTCCCAAACCGGTGGATAGGCAGACGTGAATCAATAGAGTGGCCACCTAGGTCACCCGACCTTAATCCACTGGACTACTTTCTTTGGGGTTATGTCAAAAATCAAGTGTACAAAGATAACCCACGCACGCTTTGATATCCTCAAAGATCGTATTCATAACGTAATTAGGAATATTTCTCCAGAAACTGTTGAAAATGTACAGCAAGAATTTATCTATCGTTTGGGGTACTGCAGAGCTGTTAATGGCGGCCACTTCCAGCATCTAATAAAATAAACTTCCAGAATGTACATCAATTTATTTACAATAAAGTGTTATTATTTAAACGTAAATATTTCGTGAACAGTTGAAGATAGGTATAAGACATTATGCACAAAACATATCCAGAATTTTTCGGAAAATCCGAAAATGCAAAAATATATAGGGGGTTCCATTTAAGAAAAAAAAAATAATTTCTGACACGCTTTTTTGAGGCACCCTGTATATCTACATTTTATGTCAAAATATGCACAATCTAAAAACAAAATCGACGTGTCCGAGGATTTTTCCTAAAAAAAAATTACACACTCTTTTATTGAATTTATCCATTATTAAATCACAACCCTGTATATTGAAACAAGAAATAAGAAAACATGTTTAATTTTATCTACAAAATTTAGTAAACTGTATAAGATGTTTATGACAGCTAAAATACTGTTCGGCAGATTTTACATTCAACAAAAGTTTGACAAATATTATATCTTAAATATATTAGGCGCATATTTCTGGTACACATGTACCTGTTTAGTATAACAAACTAATTGTAAGATCGTTTGTGGCTCTTCACTTAGTTTACGGTACCGGAAGATCCACTGTTTGTGACCGAGTATACATATTTGTACTAAATTCGTATAGGTATAAATAAGAACAGTTACATGGTGGAATAATTCAGCAAATCACGAAACTGGACAGAAGTTTGCTATAATTTACATTTTATTCAACCCGAGGTATAAGGCGTGGTTCTGGTTAGTCTAATCTCTGATGGAGGAAAGTAAATACCTCATGGGCGACTAATTAATAAAGATATATTCAATTAAAAAAGTAGCTTTTGCTCTTTGATTTGCAGCTATAATAATTGATCAGACATGTTGATAAAACAACTAGTGCAAAAAATATGCAATCGTTTTTTTGACATAGTTTCCTAACTTTAAAATTGGCAATGAAATTCTCGAAACACTTTTTTTAATCATCTTTCAATATTATACTAACAAGGAAAACAATTATGGCCAATATGTTCACACTTCATTTTAATATCAATAGCGACATTTCATATTGTACTTTTACAGACATAATAAAAACATTTGTATTCACTTGACATCGGAAATGTTTCCCATTTGTTCAAAATATGTAATGAAGAACTTGTAATGTGAATTTCTAACTAGCCGGATTTTAAAATATGTATATTTCATCTACATCAATGAAGAATATGACACTTAAAGTAACAAAACGTTTGCTTCATTTTTCTCCAAACGGTAAAAAAAATAATAGTTGTACATATTTTCCTGATTGACATTGCAGGACACCTAGTTATTTAACCTTATATGAAAACTAAAATCTATTTTTTTTTTAAATAAATAAAACTGATATGTTTTCTCATTCGGACCTAGAATGTTTTAATGTTCTGTATAAAACTACAGCAAGAAGTTGGTACTATTAATAAATAAACTGAAATAGAAAATTAACTCTAACCTTCCTCATTGCAAAAATAATATTGAAAAATTGATTAGATGTGTTACTAGAGTTTCATTGTTTCAGAAATCAAGGAACGTGTGACCCTAAAATCAAATGCATGCATCCATTGATTCATATATATTTTCAATAATGCTAAATGAAAAATATACAGGAAAAACTTTTCCGATGTGTAAAGTAAGTGCTCCCCTTAAAATCTGGAGATTTTACTTCAGCAATAAATTATAGTAAAAGGTTGTGGTATTCTTAATAAAAACGGAAATACGAAAATATTAGCTTTAATTGTTTTCATAGCTAAAATAATATTGAAAAGCTGATTAAATAAGTTTATAATTAATTAAAAAAAATTTAAAACATAACAAAAAACCAACCTTTAATCTTTCCAGTATGATCCTGAAATTTTGAGATTCTGACTTATGAGTCTATTAGTCCCCCAGCAGTTTAATAGTTAATTCATAAATGGTTCAAAAGCTACAAAGCTAGAAAGAGAAAAAAGAGACAAAATAAATTTTAGGGAATATTGGAAATTCATTCCGTATATCCCCAAATTTTGAGTGGTCATTTCGTACTAAACCAGGTTGCCCCACTATGCCATGACAGTATTATAGTAATCGTTTTGCACATATTCTTTGCATATACAGAACGTGTTAGTTCCTGGCGAGAAATCTAATAAAAATGCTGAGTAAAAATATTTCGGGAATATTAATTAATATTCTTTGGATCACTTCAAAAATAGTTGTCACACCCATATTTAAATAATTGCATGCAAATAAACTTTCAACTGAATAACAATTACAAACTATAGTCAATTTTCCATTACTAATGAGTACGTATACAGGGTGTCCCACGAGGAAGAGCACACATTTTGAGGGAACATTCCTCAGGTAACAATAAGCAAAAAAGATTATATAAACTATGTTCGAAAATGCACCGTTTTTTAAAAAATGCACCGTTTTTTAAAAAATGTGTAGAATAATACTTGCTTACATTTAGTACTTCTATAAGGGAATATGTAAATTCAATACTTAAAAATAATTCTACATTTTAGTTGCCAGTACTTCGGTATGGCAGTTAGCCCTTTTTGTGAAATGTAATTTCTACGCATATGACGTATTTATATTATTTATGCATACTTGACTGAAGTGATACGTTTACGTAGAAAACATCCTTCCATTTTCGTAATTTCATAGATTTTGAAATAAATTGCATAAAACATTAAACTTTCTGTTTGCTTTGCAACAAGTAGGTAAGTATAGTTTTTCAAACGTCGTTACAGTACAAATGAATAAAAAAAACATAAATCTTTTAATACCATGTTTAACAAGTAGCAAATGAAATGCAAAGTGTAGTTTCTTGTGAAAAAACTACTGTACCTAGAGCTTGATTGAGTATGAAATTTATTTAAATTATATTTTATACCTATTCTACGTTATAAAAAAGGCAGGGTATATATGTTATAACATTTTTTACGAGTTCATCACCAACTCGAAATAAGTTTATTAAGTTCTAATTATCTAAAAATCCATGTTTTCATTATTTTCCTAGCTCCACCCAACTAGGGAAAAAATATTCGAATTTTCAATTTTTTTTTTTGTTTTTTTCAGGATGATTCGGGAACCTGATGACTAGAAATCGGAAATGTTAGGGCGACTGCAATGTAGTATAGGGTTGGCTGTAGGCCGGGTTCTCTTTTATGTAATTTTAATAAATCAAAAAGGAACAAAAATAGTCTAAATTTTTAATAGTGGCGAAGCATCAACTACTTCACATTTTAGTCTGTCATGTCTGCTTCTGATCTGAAGTTTCGCATCAATCAATTTATTCGATACGTATCTAGCGGCATTTTAACGCCTGCCCTATCGGCCTGGCGTGCCGGTGAACAATCCAGGTTTTTTGCTAAGGGACGTTAGCCTACATTTCATTGTCGTTTGTGTGAGTGAGTTTGACGCTTTGCTTGGTCGAATGTATGACAGTTAGTATCATTGTGTATCGTGAACATAGAGCAGCACACGGCTTGATCACAGATTTAGCGACTTTCTGCTATTACAACGCGTATTGTCGCTTAGTAGCATATGTAGATTACTACTGTTTATTTATTTGATTGTCGCCACAAAGTTTCCGATGTCTACTAATGACATATCCGAATTTAAAAAGGCAATGAAAAAAGTCATCTGTTACCTTAAATTATAAAAATGCATTTAATACAATTTTTCAATGGCAAAAGCCTATAAATTATCATATTCATCGACATATCAAAAAATAGTATAATATGAAAATAAAATTTATACCTTTCTCTGTCACAGCATCTGATGCCTACGTTGATAAAAGCAAAAATTCTTTGAGAGCCACAGCTGCACTAACTCAAATTTAAAAAAAAACCAAAATGCACTTAAGGAAACAAGTGGCGTTAAGTCATTATAGAAAAGAAAGTAAAATGTTGATATGTATTTTAAAGTTGTGTACCTTAACTAATATTAGCAAAATAAATATTGAAGCATGCTGGAATTAAATAAATGAAACAATACAAATGTGGACCCACCCTATAGCCTATATGTATAATTCTAAACAACTTTGGTTCGATTCTGTATAAAAATAAAAAAGTTTCAGAAGACAGGTAATTCGCATAACTTCCCAGTTTGATAACTTGATAGAAAAGATAATTTTTGATGCTTTAAAAGGCAGTTGATACAACTTCTCGATGACGTAAATCTTTTCAAAGCAAATTGCAAATGGTGGTGATGATAAACAGAGTCAAAATTTATAATACCTACCTTTAAACATAGGAAATTTTGATTAGAGTTTAGAAAAGAATTTATCAAATTTAAATCATAAAATTTCGAAACGTTTTTGCTCATTCTATAACAGGTTAAGAATTCAATTCATAAGTTAAAATATTTAAATGTAAACAATTATTATCGACCACAAGTTTTATACAAAAACGTCCCGATTATTCTTTGTAACTGAGTCCAAATACTCATAAAAATATTTTCAAAAGTAAAGTTACCGAGTTTAGGTAATGTGTAACAAACAATCTTAACCTGTTACTCTAGTATTTTGTTTACTCTTAACATAAATAATAATCATATCATATTTCTCTCCGTTACTGTAATGAATTATGCTTTAAATATTTTAGTAATATAGCCATTTAGACACTTGGATTATTTTGTATATTTTGAAAACTGGAATTACACATTTTCATTAAAACTATTTTTTTGTCCATTCAAAGTTCACTACGTTGCATCGCAAGCATTCAGTGTTCATTATTAAAAAGAATAATGGTTTAGTACACTGATTAAAATCTAAACTGAATTTTATTGTTTGAAACAGAATTCATTTTTGAGAGTAAAAAATGATTTATACCCGAAACCATCAACAAATATAAACAATCAAAATGAATCCTATAACAGTTCAAACAGTAAAACGTAGCTTAATACCTTTTACTTACTAATATTTTCGGGATTTATTTATAGGATATAATAGTTGAATTAAAATTTGATGGTAATGCGAATAAACCACCTCCCAAATCACACATTTTTTTGTTGAGCTCCATGTTCAATTCCCTTCGAAAAAACTCTAATTGAGCTTTTAATTGACATCATCGAGGAACTCTGCCAACTAACCCTTACAAAATCAAAAAATCCCTTTTCGTTATCAATCCGAGGAGTTTTATGTGAATCACCCACGTACATACTTGAAGCAAGCTAAATCTCAGCTAATCTACTCGTACATTACAAAGCACAGCAAGACAAACCTTCACATGTAGGAAAAGGAGTAGCCCAGTCTCCATTAGCTTGGCAAACAGTCTCCCCAGGCCCTCTGAGACCAAAGCCCGCATCACAGCTAAATACAGCCTTGCCTCCTACTTCTCTGGATATGATAAGCGCTTTCAAATGCTCTCCTAGTTGTCCTACATCGCCACATTCAATACCTACAAGGATTTTTGAGCACATTTATAAACTGTTGTAAGTACATAAATGCAAATCAAAGTGATAAGTGATAAGTAAGCGAGATACAACATCCAATTGTTATTATATAAAGGAAGATGTTAAGAAATGAATAATTAATGATGCGAATGAATAGAGGTTAAAGGAAATAAGAAGAATTCTTAACAAATATGCACACTGTCAAAATAGAGTGCATAAGGTAACTGAGTTACTACATATTTAAAAGTCGTATTAAACAATATCACATTATTGTTGTTATTTAAGGGTTTTACTGTAAAACAGATATATAACTTTATAAATGCACTCTAGTGTTTAGGGCCGTAACCAAAGCGTGTCACGGTGGCTCAATCTGTCCTGAAAAATTTTGAAACGAAAACCATATATTAGTTATTCGAAAATGGATGCTTCGAATTATAAATCGGTTTATTTAATAGTCTCCCCCTGAATGACAAAGAGCCTATCACGAACAATTACGGTCTGAGTACGGCCCTGCTAAGTAAAAACTAACCAATAACTCTAAAATATCTATGAAATTAGTGCTTTGTTATAAAAATGGTATATGCATTCAAAAATAAATAAAACTGGTTTCTATATCTATATGTACTACTCTGAAATCCTAAAAACCTACCAAGCAAATAAAAGTAAGTAAACTACAGATATCCATTTCACGTGCATTACTATACGATAAATAGTAATTAATAGATTTTGTTGTTAATAAATTAGGCACGTTTAACCTTCACAATAAAAGATAACTTTAAAGGTAAAAGTTTAACATTTTCGTATAGGTACATAAAAGGGTTTACAAAATAATCTAAGAGGATTTAGTTTTAGTTCACTATTTTTCAACTCTAAGTTTACTTATTAACATTAGACAAATTAGACATTATTTAATCCAAAACATACATTTTAAAAATTACGTAAACTATACTACTTGATTTACAAGATTTCAGCTTCTGTGTTCAGGCAACACACAATACAAATAGTAAGTTGTGTTGCGTAAGATGCACATATTATGAAGTATTTTAGGATTTTTGGTCAAAATAAGAAAAAAAAATCCCACAAGTGAATGTAAAAAATTACGATATTTTATCGAATTTTGACCATGAGTTTAAATTTTAAATTGACCAACTAATTCTGAAATTCTATGTCCCCATAATATATACATTGGGCTATGGCAAGCTTTTAGGTTTAAAATAAAATGGTTTTACTAAACTTATTCTATGATTCGCTTCGTTTAGACGTTAGAGGGCATCAAAATTAATAAATAGTAATAATTAATTGATTGTATACAAGGTGTCCCACCGGGAACTGCGTCGATCGATATCTAGGAAAGTACTGCTCCGAAAAATTACTACTACAACTAAAATGTCTAAGTCTCCAGCACTTTCGGTTATACCGGAAATCGACACCAACTTCGTTATTTCAAATGGGACACCCTGTATATTATTGCATTTTCGGATTCTATGCGAAATTTGAGGGTCACTATTAAATATTCTCTATACCTAGAGGTTATAGAATTTGAGATATTAATATTTAAAGACAAAATTTGACAGATGCAAGAGTCCACGGTGATGCTTGTAACTCTTTTAAGGAGTGTGATATTAAGTAGATTTTTGGTACCTGATGTAAAGGTGCATAGGTAACACTAAATTATGGTATAGCAACAAGTTAAAACATTTAATACTATGTGTTTAATTTTTGCTGTTACATTTTGATAAATACAAACAGCTATAATTTTGTTAACTTGGAACACCCTGTATTTTTTTACTCTGTCGTATGCAGATTCTAGATATCGACCGACGCAGTTCCCGATGGGACACCCTGTATATATAAAATATTTTTTCCAATCATAACCAAATTTGTTATGCCAGTATTTCTATATCGATGTTACTTTTTGATGTATGTAAATACATTTATAAACATGGAAAAAATACCTCCACCTTTAAGAAAATACATATATTCATATTTTATTTTGTGAGGGACCTTACAACGTCAAATCTTATTTTAACATAAAGATAGGGATTTTTGCATAATTAATTATATTATTAGAACGATATTAATGTATTTTATTATACACTATACAGTGTGTCCCAGAAGTAACGCAAAAAATTCGTATTTTATTATGTGTTGCGTTTTCACAAAAACGCTAAAACACGTCAATTAGTAAATAGGAATTGTCATTTTGTCGCATTGCTTAAACCTTTTTTGCGCTGTTTCATAAACCTATGACGTCATCGACATTTTTTTAAATAGCACTACCTAATTTTTAAAGCATAAATGGATAGTCCTTTTGAAGGGAAATACGTCGATATAGGGTTTGGCCTACTTTACTTTGACAGGAGCGAAAAAGAAGCCAATGAATGGAATGGACATGGTTTAAAATAACAACAAAAGTAGGTATCATAAACCGATGAAACGGCAAAAAATGGGAATTTGTAGATGTTTTGTGTTTTGGTTGATTGTAGGTACGTTTTTATGTATTGATATGTTGGTGACAGCTAAAAATAACATTTTGCCTATAATTTTCTATCACTGTCGTTGACCTTCCAGATCTAGACAGATCTCTAACATGTCCAGCGTCTTCAACTTTGCGTACTAATGTGCATTCTGTAGACGAAGTTATTGGTTGTTCTGGATACTTGGCCTTGAATAAATGACATACTTCATCATAACTACCGATCCTATCCCCGTATCCAACCATAATTAGGATTTCAATTCTTTGTTTCTCATTTAAACACAACACCATCGCAATGTAAAGTTATAGTATGTGTTACTGTCACAATGATATGAGGCACTATTGCATTCGCTAACTGTCGTCTTCAAAACAATACCTACATAGCCGCTGTGATCGGGTGTACCTACCAAATCTACATAAAAACATGTACCTACAATCAACCAAAACACATTTTTTGCTATAGCACTGTTCGCTCATAAGTTTGTGATACCTACTTTTGTTATTAATTCAAACCATGCCCATTCCAATTGTTGGCTTTTTTTCGCACCTGTCAAAGTAAAGTAGGCCAAACCCTATATCGACGTATTTCCCTTCAAAAGAGCTATCCATTTATGCTTAAAAAATTAGGTAGTGCTATTTAAAAAAAATGTCGATGACGTCATAGGTTTATGAAAGATAGCGCAAAAAAAGGTTTAACCAACGTGACAAAACGACAATTCCTATTTACTAATTGACGGGTTTTAGCGTTTTTGTGAAAACTCAACACAAAGTAAAATACGATTTTTTTGCGTTACTTCTGGGACGCCCTGTATATAAACCTGATTAATTCCATCATCAAAAAACTGTTTTATTTGATAATGATAACGAAATAATGCTTTGTGGTTTTCGGAAACTGGTAATAAAACGTTCTGTCACAAACTCAAACAACAAACAACAAATTCAACTGATTTAACACTACTTGAAATAATATTTGACACAATGGGGAAAGTCTTAAGATCATAGAAACACTCAAAAGTAATGGTTTGTCCTAGAGACTACATCAGCCTATCGCCATGTATTTTGCCCAAAAATCGTTAAAGTTGCACATTTCGATGTTCCAAAGTATTAGCTACTGAACTGAACTACTGAACTGAAAAATGATATAACGCCATATCTATATGTATTTTGAGCCACTAAATACCTACAAATCTGAAGACTGTTTTCACTAATGGGACCATTCCTCTTCTAAAAAATTCGTCTGTAAACCGCTGAAATTGCACATTTTATTGTATGTTAAAGTATAACCTTTTCAATACACCTTCGTGATAACAGGAAAACGATCGTTGTTAAGGTTATTATATCGTCGGTTCGTAAAACCGTAATTGTTAATAATTCTATGGCTAATTTGTATTCATAATGGAACCTTATATATTTTTTGGCTCACCCGATATATTAAATCTTTGGCTCACAGTGCACTAGTTGATCGACCGAATGAGTTGCGTCTACCGACAGGGGGATTTGCATACAATACTACCCGCCGTGAAATTCACGTCTCGGACATTGTTTGCTTGGCTCTTCCCTGGTATTCGATCCTTTCATGGTATATAAAAGATCGTGGTTTGATGGAGAGCGCTGCTCGGCTCTTCCACGACACTCAGGTAACAGCAACCGCCCGTCCTTTGCCCAACCCCTGTAGCTCAAGTATAGGAATTCCCACTTGATCACAGTCGCCATCGTTCTATTATTGTATCCTAAGTCCCGAGTGAAATTCGGTTTTCACTTCACTTTCTAAGTTGAACTTCGAGGCCGCTCATCTAGCGATAACAACCCCTGCAGAAATAGTTGCCAATGCCCATCAATCTTACGGAACCGAAGATGCGGAATAATTTTGTTAATTTCCGTTTGAGCCCCCTATGAAGCTACAAGCTCACGATCACCTCAATCACCAAAGCCCCAGCAAACAATACCAACAGAGTGCGATGCTGATGCTAGTGGCACGGGAACTGCTGACGCAGTGCATAAAAGCATCAGGTTCGAATTTTGAGAAATATAAAGTTTCTCAAGTACCTACATCGAAATTAGAACTGAGGTAGAGCAACATAAAGATTACAGTCCAGATGTCAATACGAGTCAAGCAGATTCCAAAGGCAAAATTCAGAAAGGCATCATCATCAACCATGAACAGATATTTGGCCAGTATATGTTGTATAAATGAAAACAAAACATCAAAATGTCACAAATATACAAATTTTCTCAATTCAAAACTTTGGTTACAATTTCTTTGCAAGCGCATTGCTCGAGGTTTATAATCCTACATACACCATAGACTTTCTCAGCCTGTGGCGAAGATTCTTAGAGATAACTCAAGCTCCAAGTAGCTCAAAAAATCCACTCAGGACTTTTAGTGCCTGTAGCGACGGGATAAAGAATATTTTAAACTCAAGGTATTCTAAGACGACCTACAGGAGGTGCTGAGATAAGACAAAGTCTACATGCCAATGCTTAGGCAAAGCAAAGCCTACAAAAAAACAGTACTCACACTAGAAGTGACCAAAAACCTTCTAGTGCAGAAAGACTCAATTGAAAACTTCCAGTAAAACCAGTACCATTCTGAGGGTGTATCCAGGTTATATGCGAATACATTTCAGCGTGGACCATACTCCTGACCACCAGAGAAGAACGTCCGAGCAGCGCGACGCACTCTCCTACCGACATCCGTTGCATCCCGAGGATGGTAGCATGAGAGAGGCGTCCGACAATCCCTTTCACTTCTTTGCAAGCGAGCATAAAGATATAAAGATTTAAAAAAAAAGAAAAGAAAAACCGCGACACTATCCTACGTGTTTGCTAGAACTTTCCGCGGCACTATTTCCCTTCTCTTCTTGGTATTAGTTTTTCTTGACAGGTGCTTGCTAGGTTATTAAGCGGCACTAGGTCCTCTCCGCCTGGCATCGGATTTTGATGTCAAAAACACCCCTATGTGCTTGCTACGTCTTTCCACCCATTAGGTCTTCTCCATCTGGCATTGGATATTATTCTCAGGAAACCCCATCCGTATCATTGATCGGATAACTGGCCTTTCCTAGTCTCATAAATCGACCATCCTCATTGTATTATTTACTATTTTAATAAAGATTTGTTGTTATTTTTCAGGAATATAAATGGTATTTTACGATGTTCAGTTTTAATATTCTTTAATCCCCGACTACCATTCGCCAGTGAGAGTACCTAGATAATTAAGAATTAACGATACTATCTTGGCACCCGAGACCACGCAAGGAAAGCATTTCACACATATTTGCATAAATCCTGATATAGTGGACGAAGAAAAGGTTCAAGACAAATAAAAGAGCAAGACCAATTCCATGTTAGTTCAATTTCTATGTTTCTAAGCCCAAATATTTCAGCAATTAACAGACGAATTCTTGAGGTTAGGGGTAAACCATGACCTGGTTCGGTGAAAATCGATTTCACATTCGTATTTATTTAGTGTCAAAATACATGAGTTTAGTATACGACTATACAGTTCAATGCCAGTCCTGTTACTATATTTCGAACTCCAAAATGAACTATTTTTAGACATTTTATTTTTTAGGTTAGGAGCCACCATGATTCTTATTCAGCGGACTAAAATACATTAAGACGGACCAAGTAATTTTTTTATTTTATGTATCCGTGTTATTATCATATATGTTTTTAACCGAATATTTTGCTACATTTCTGGAATACACGAAGCATTATCTAATTTTTCTTATCGAATTTGTTTTCAAACGAAAAAATCCTGTATCCCAATCAAGGGCTTTATTTTTAATACGATGTTGTGTTACTTTTAATACTTAAACACGTTGCACCCAAATGACAATATCATGAAAATTAAATGAGATATCAACAATCCAAGAACATTTGGTTATGTGCAACGCAATGTTGCTAACAACATATCACTAAATATCTCCACTAGCGCGTAATTAAAATTGTTCGGTTATTTTCTGAACAGACCTCGCACTGTAATTCATATGCCGAAATTGCCTTTTCTTAAAGACATGTTTTCTGTTTAAAGAGAGATTATTAAATAAGATCGAAAAATTGAAACAATAAAATGAAATGCTTTTCAAAATATACGCAACTGATGGAGCATATCTTCTGTTTACACAAAACTACACAATTTTACCCTCAGATCTTCTTTCTGTTACTAACAATCCAATTTTAAGTTTTTCCGTATTGTATGAAGACGGCTACAAAATGGTTTTTTCATGTAGATATATTTTTTTACTATTTTACTTAACTTCAGAGATGCTTTGAATATAAATCTTAATTTTTTTCTATTTCTGCTAATAAGATGTATGAAAAATATTCGTTCGTCTGAGTATGCCAAGAATATAATTTAAAGGAGTTTATTGTACAGGTATGTATTAGAAATTACGTATTGTATTTAAAAACGAAATAGTTTCCCACATTTCTCTAATTACTACTTAGTTCAAAAGGTTTGCTACGGTTGAATTACTCACTTTCACAGACGGGGAACGGAGCACTCCAATTTCCTGAAGGAAGGCAGACGATCTCCTCCGCTCCTATAAGGGAGTTACCGTTGATGCAAGAAAATTTTAATTTGGTGTTCATCTTCGTACTCTGCGTATTCACCGTCAGACCTCTCCTTTGTGGAACGACGGGGCAGTGAACCGCTGTAATATCATACATTATCAGTTACAATGAGTTAAAATTTCATTGTTATTTGTGGTATGGACTCCCCCAAAATATTCAGCAGAAGATGTACTGCTAAATGATAAAATTATGTACATATACCTTTTTACAGAGCAACAAGTTTTTTCCTAAAATAAATGACATAAGGTAAACGCCTTAATTTTCGACCATGCCCCAGTTGTCAACATTAATTTTTAAATTTGTACTAAAACTAGAATGATAAATAGGGACATCAGGTTTAATAGCCTTTTAGAACTCAAAGTTAGAACCGTGCCTGTGGTGCTATAAGTGTGACCTAGTAATTTGCTTAAATTCGCTTAATAACAATATTTGTCTAAACTACAAATATTTACTTAAGAAATTGAAATTTAATTCTTTTTAAATCAAAATCTAATGATGATAACAAGACCAGAATTCGAATATTTATAGCAGCTTGGAAGCAGCTATGAGGATCTAATGTTACATGACAAAATTATATTAACTTTGTTCCTAGAGCAATCCAAAACAATTTCTAACAGTCAGATATAACGCGGAATCGATTTAACACTTACATTAAGATTCAAAATTCATTCTATCGAATCAAATTTCATTACATGTGACTACTGGAAACTGATTCTATTTTACTAGATTATCTTTGAGCAGTTTTAAGCCGTGTGTTAAGCAGAACTAAATATATAATTTCAGTTGATGAAAATTTGAATTAGTTAATACCTTTAGACTAGCGCAAACCATGTAGTATAAGGTAAAGAAAATGACCATAAAAGGTGATGGATGGAAAGCAGAAGTAGGTATCCCATGCTTTGGTAAACGTAATACTTTTTCATGTACCAGCTAATCATATGCCACTAATAGCGGCATATATACAGTGAAAACGGTGAGACTTAGACACTTAGGCTTTATAAGGCAATTCTGAGTTATTTATTGAGTTCAATTTGTGGTTAAAGTTTGATTCACTCGAACTGAAACACCCTGTATATAATGATCTTATAAGTTCATGCTTCTTCTGAAATTATATTTAAACTGTTTTCTATACAGAAACATCTTACGTCTTTATACTTAATATGGAAGAGGATGTAAATAAAGTATTGGGCAAACCATCATGTGCATAATCCTGAAATGGCTCTTACCTTTTACCTCAATTTCCACAGAATGAGTATATCTAGCCGGTGTAACGCAAGTAAATAAGCCAGAATCATCTTTAGAGGCATGAAATATGGATAACCTATATTCCAGCTGGGAATCTCGCCCTGGATCTGTTGTCCAGCCCTCAGGATATTTTCTGTAAATATAATATACCTCATAAAAGATTCCATTCTTGAAAATAAGATATTTCATTTTCCATTATACATTCGTTTAAGTTAGAAAATCCATAGAATAGTGTTAGGTACCGATGTATAATTAATTCTTGTCATAAATTTAACTGCTGCCTTTTTACATGTTAGTCCAATCAAATGGACCTTTAAATCGCAATTTGGTCAATTTTCAGGAATTTTTGGTGTAGGTTAGTTTGAGGTATATAATAACAATAAGTGACAGTAATTTTTTTTTCAACCCTGGCCAAGGGTGAAAAAAGATAAAATAATGGGGTTTTTCTAGATAACACAAAAGGGGTAAGAGCTAGAAAAAAATTCTTATAAAAATGTAGAGTAAAAAATTTTACGTAAAAATGGCTTATTAACTTTTTCTTGTACTATTAAAATTAACAGAGTTAGGGTGGCTAGAAGTGAAGAAATAATTTCATAAATTTAAAAAAATCATAACAATTAGAATTTTAATAAAAAGTTAGCTGTTCCATTCTGAGAGAAAGCTAGTAGATTTTTTTTATATAAGATAAGTTGATCAAAATGTTTCATTTTGATTTCAGTACTCTACGAGGCAGGAAGATATAACATAAAAAATGTGCCTTATAAATCTATATTTGCCTTATAAGTCTCTAGACTTTAACTGCTTAGTGGTTACAAGAAATTTAAAAAACTAATAAAATTATTTTTCGCAATAGTTAAAAAACATTTTTTTTTTCATTAGGCCATTAAACAACACTTTTTTATTTATACCATTATATTAAAGTATTAGTATTAATAAGTATTAAATGATTATTCAGCGGCATACATATAGGAGATTTTTAACATACTACCATGTAAACTCTATGACAGTAAAAATAATTTCAGTTTACGCTGCATTCTGGAATCTCAGACAATTTTCTAAAATCTCAGACAAGCCCGTACTTTCCATTTAAAAATTTAGGAGTTGCAACTGCCACTCGAAGGGAGTTGAATTTAGGGATGAAACTTTCACGTTGCATTATGTCATTTCAAAATCAAAAATCGACGTGTCTCGGGATTTTTTATAAATATGCACAATAATTCAGATACTGAATTTATTCCATTTGGCTGTTCTACATTGTGTATTTGACATTTGTGGAATTCATGAATTCATCTGGCACAGATTTTATAGCAACCCAGATGATCAATAATGATGAAACTGATGTTGAGTGTATCAAAAGTAAATCGGCGATCTTGTTTAGTTACAATTCACTCGTTGTTTCAAGTTTTCAAGTACGATAGACGGATGTCTTAATCAGATCATCATATATTATCTTTTTAGGAAAGATTATTATTAGGTATTATTTTCATAAATTAAAATAAGTTGAACACAAAGTTCCACAAGGGTTTCAGTGTAGGGCCTTTATGAAAACCAATATCTTGATATTGAAGGTACGCTTTCTGAGTGTTCTTAGAAAATATTGGTTTTAGAAATATTACTGGTGAAAACTATCAAACACGTATCAAACTGAATCAGTTTGATACGTGCGGAGCTAAGGTAGTAACTTTAGTGTTGATAGATCGTGTTATTTTAACGTAGCCATTTCTATTTGTAAACAAACGGATACTAGATTCTGGGCTCTTATCGAAATCTCAAAAATTATTTTTAATATATCACACCAGAATGAGAAAAGAACGAAAAACTAGGTAATTACAATGTACATTAAGGAATCTACTTACCTATAATCATGACTAATAGTCCATTTTGGATTTCCAAATCTTCTGATCCATAAGCATTCCATATGTAAAATCGTGCCAGGATATACAATTAATTTACCGTCATTTGACTGTGCAATAGGTCCTAGTTGATGTCTAAATAAAATAGTTGGTGGTTTTTCCATGGAATAATCATTTGCTTGATTTAGTCCAAAGCAAGCTGGTTTGGAACCATCCCAGTCCCCTCCCATACATCTTCTTTTATTTGGACCTAATAATAACTTTTATCAATTGCACTAATTTAGACAAAATAACCTCTAAGTTATTTCAAGCATTTTAAAAAATATATTCTTTGAATTATTTTGAGAAAAACGTTTGTTGTAAATAGTACCAATTATAAATCGTTAATATATTATCAAATTGGCTAAATTAACCTAAATCATTCTGAGATAAAAAGACTAAAAGACAACAAATGAATTTAACTTGTCGTTACGAATAAATAAGTACAAAGAACCAAACTTTTATGTCATTCTCTTCCCAGAAGCTACCAAATATATAGGTACTTTTCTAGATAAGAGAAAATTTTAAGATGAATCCTGGAATAATTAGTATTAATTTGATATTTATTGAAAATATTGTTTCTTAATATTAATATCAAAACTAGTTACTGGTATTAACGTAAACCATAGTAACGATTTTTGTTCTTACCTATCATTGCATATTTTCCAATATCGACACATCTGCTGATCAAAACAGCTCCAGCTGGGAACTCCACGACATCTTCTCGAATTTGTTGATCGTTATAGAAAGAAATTACGTTTGGTTCCTGATTTCGGAAGATACAAGTGCTATTATTATTTAGGGTTTGCGAAGCCATCAAATCTTCTGTATCTATAATAACAATTTTATTGAAAAACTACTTTTTCTACTCACATATAGGTACAAAAAAAAGGATTTTCTCATGGCATTGTCGATATGAAAGTAATATTTTTTCACTCATAAGCCAAAACTTCCATTTAAGACAAAAAATGAAATTGACAAATTTACGATTTTTTTAAATTAAAAAATTACCTTTACATGAACATTCTTAAATATTTTCTTAATTTCAACGGAACATGTTTTGTTGGTAGGTACCTTAAAATTAAAAACCTACCATCAGGGTCTTCAATTGCAGTTTTTGTAAAACTCATGAAAGTTATTTTTAGCATTAACAGGTTTATTATAGGCTTATAGGCCAACCCGACCATTTTTTAGTCAAAACTACTACATTAGAATATTGGCCCATTTATGTTTCCCGGGGGGTCATTTTGAGTTAGAATTCGTTGGAATTATTTCACTAAACTAAAGCATTTATGTATCACAATAACTGTTATATTTTGGCCTAGTTTTACGAGATGTTCCCGCTGCGCTATCACGACAACTTTCTAACAAAGTAAAAGTTAAAATGGTAATTAAATAAACGGGCCCTTAGGTAGAACACTCTGTATAGTGATAAGTGATAACCCAAGAATTCGACATTATTAATTTATCTTTCAAACATTGTTATAAGAGAACAATTATAAGCTAAGGTAATTTATGGTAAGAGAGATATTTGTTATTATCTTACATTCGTAAAACCGCAACAAGAATCACAAATTTAATACCAACGTCTAAGAAACATTTTTTTTATACATATAAATAAATAATTTTTTATATACTGACATTTGCAATTTTTATGTTATTCTTAAATTGAAAAAAATAAACAACATAAAATCATTAAAGGAAAATGTCACTGATAATGTCTTCTTATGTTCGAAACGTCACTAAACACTAATATATAACACATTACTGTCAAAAAAAATGAAGATGTCAAAATCGTAAATGGTTAGTAAATACGAAATGTCATATTTAAAATCTAATCCATATTCGAATAAGAGACAAAAAATAACTTTATGAAAGTGTTTTATAACATCATCTGACATTTCGAATAACATAATAAACCGAATATTTTACATTTAAAAAAAAAATCAAAAACTATCAAAGATTGGAATTGTTTCCAGTCGTTCGCGTTGCCAATAATCGCAGTAACTAGTACAGTCCGTAAGATACTTGTTGAGATAAAATTCCAAGAAGCCCCTGCGTCACTGTCGCGTTAAGTTGTTACAGTAGTTCCGATAACAGAACTTTATTGGCTTATTCTTTTCATGGAATTATATCTTAACAAATATCGTACCGACTCTAGCTTTGCTTATAATGGAAAAGAAAGTTTGTGGGGAATTTTGACGTATATTTCTGACATTTTTAAGGTTTGCATACAATTATTTTCAGCATACAGATGTAGAGACAAAATGACCATTTTATTTTATTACATATTGTAAAATAGCAATTACTAATTGTACATATTTTAATTAAAATGCTTCTGCAGGAGAATAATTAGTCTAAAACTTATGTCTCAAACTAAAGCTTTTTTAATATACAATACCTAAAACGTTCACAGTCGTTTGCAACTATGATTTTTCTTTGATCTTTTTTAATTTATCGACAATCTATAGAATTAATTCATTTCTTCACATTCGTACCTTTTGCTGCAAATAAATGTCTTTTGCTCACCACGAATAATAATCATCTATACCTGCTAAAAATTCTTCAACAACGCGACCCATTGCCTTATGAGCAGATTGAAGAGCAGATTCATTTTTATTTAATTGCTAAGTCTTTACTAAATTAAAATGAAACGAAATAAAAAATTTATTATAAAAAATACTCAAAAAAATCAGCCACGTGCTCGATACACGTAACAAATAAATAGTATCGAAACATTTCTGGATCAGTAGTACATATAAATAAAGAGTGAATTTGAACATGCGATTTATTTCAAATCAGGTGTTTTCAATCGACCTTTAGATTTCAGTGATTGATTGTCGGTTTGAGTGGAACGAAATAAAATGAATAGACCTACCGCAATTGTGTGATCTGCCAATCCAACTACCATCCTCGCAAATGATTTTCCATGTTGTTTTCTCTCCCATTATACTCTCGATGCAATTAAATGTAACTTCGCTCCCTTCTGGAAAACTATTTTCTGCATCTGCAACTGTTTCTCCATTTTTATATATTAATGATCCTCGGACCCTACAATGCAGTTAAAAAAATATATACATAATATGCATTTTAAAATACAGAATAAATATGCAGACAACTTGAATTCAATAATTTGTCACAAACAATCACAGAAACTTGCAATTAAATATATTTAAAAAATATAAAAATTAATATAAAATGCAAATTGGTCATACTTTCTTAATTCCTTTTGCATACCTGTAAATTCTTCTTGGCGTTTACAAAATGGCTATATTCCAAGTGATAAAAAATATAAACTTTTGAAACTTAATACGATTATTTGCAAAGAAAATATGTTTGAAAAGTCATTATTACGTTATAAAAATGTTAAAAGGTATTAGCTGAATTACATATATACTTAAATTGTATTTGAATATAGAAATTGAATTATACATTATAAATTAGAAAACATATAACAAGAAATGTTTTAAAGCGTGGAACAATTTTTCTCATCAAAACAAAAAAAAAAATAGTAACAATTTTTCTTATATCCTAATGGGGCTCTATAATAGTTCAAAGATTCGGGGTAAAATTACGGAGAAAGTAAGTCATTTTTATGTTACTAAGTATGTCTTGTTATTTACGTTGTTATATAAATACTAAAACATCTACTTTTGCTTGTATTTCTTTGGCTTTGAAACTAAACTTATTAGGACTACTTAGAAGTTGTAGGATTTTCCTTGTGATTTCAACGGATATTAATCAAAATAGTGTTTTTCTAAATTTAGCATCCTGTACATTATTATATATTTGCCCTCTAAGAACTACAGTAAATTTATCTTCCTAAAACATTGAATTTATGGAACTCTTATGGTCATATCGTCCTTATTATTAGAGATAGACCTATCAAACCTGATTTACTATAATCACAATAACAATACAGTTTAAAAATAGCACTAGTTCGGCTGCATCACCGAAATATTATTGTAAATAGTATTTTGAATATTCTTAAAACTTTAGTCCATATCATTCTCATTGGGTACTACAATTTGGGAGGCACATATTGACATCAAAATTCAAAATCGAAACATGAATGTGTTAAATATCATCTACCACATATGAAATCACTTAATACCATCGATAATAACAGTATGTTTTGTTGCCCTGAAAAATTACTTCTGAAGTAGATTTAATAATTTCTGAAAAACATAATATACACTGAAGGAAATCGACCAATATGAGAGCTGTGCTAAGATAATCTGTGTTACAATTTTTCTTATTGCTAAAATATCATATGCCAAGCTTAATAAAAATTATTTTGCCAACACGATTTTACTATCTTAAGTCGATGCTTTACTGGAACAAGAGGGTACTTTTTCTAGCATAGTTTTCCGCAAAAGGTAAGTAGAAAAATTATTGCACTAGGTTGTTGACTTTAGTTGATGCCTATCTATTAACAGTTAAAAACAATTTACCTATGCTTTTTTGTTTGGCAAAAATTGAATATTCAAAAATACGTATCAGATAGCCTGGTTTATTTAAAAACTTTTACCTCTCTTACTTTGTTGCTTTGATACTAACCGTTTATTAACAAAAAAATTAAATTCATTATCATTCGCATTACAACTCGCACGATTGCAACTAAGAAATATTTAAATGGGCGGCTAATCTACAAGCAAAGTCCAATAAGTTCGGCATTTACAGTTTCATCATTTTTATATAATCTATAACTAGTCCAATTAAATAAGCCTTTAAATCGAAATTTTGGTCAACTTGCCTGAATTTTTGATGTGAGTTAGTTTGAGGTATGTTATAACAATAAGTGACAGTAATTTTTTGTTCAACCCCCGGCCAAGGGTGAAAAAAGATAAAACATAGGGGTTTTTCAAGATCACTCAAAAGGGGTAAGGGCTAGAAAAAAAGTTTCTTATAAAAGTTATAAAGCATACAATTCTACATAAAAATGGCCTCTTGTATTATTAAAATTAACAGAGTTAGGGAGGCTAGAAGTTAAGGTTAAAACAATTTCTTTGTTGTTCACCCCCCTAAACAGAGATTTTAACGAAAACCTCGAAACATTTCAATTTCATTTTGTCAATTTGTTTACATAAATCATATTTTTAATTCTTTTTGAGTAAATATGATTTTTTTATAAATAAAAAATATAGTTTTTCTGAAATAAAAAATAAGGGTAGGGTAAGGTTCCCCAAACACGGAATCACTTGCGAAATATTTGTTTTTTATCCGAAGTAATTTCCATTTTGTTTCATTTCAAAATATTGATTAGAACCCCAGAAATTTTGAAAAAACTGTTTTGGGCAGCGAACTTTGAGGGTGTATTTCACCCCGTGAATATGTTTTTCCGCCGATAAAAGAAAATACGTGTCTCTTTACATTTTTTAGAGTAGATTGAAATCTTCCCTTAACTTCTAGCCTCCCTAAGTTTGTTAATTTTAATAGTACAAGAAAAAGAAAAGTCAAGATGCCATTTTTATGTAGAATTGTATGCTTTACAACTTTTATAAGAAACTTTTTTTTCTAGCCCTTACCCCTTTTGAGTTATCTTGAAAAACTCCTTTGTTTTATCTTTTTTCACCCTTTGCCGGGGGTTGTTATAATGTACCTCAAACTAACTCATATCAAAAATTCAGGCAAGTTGACCAAAATTTCGATTTAAAGGCTTATTTAATTGGACTATAATCTTACTGAAAGAAAAATATAGAAATACTTATCACAGGTTTACGAAAATTCATTTTGAATGCTCGGCTTCTGTGTTTTTTCTCTATTTTTAGGCCATTACTTTTCGTAAACCGCTACTGCAGGAGCCAATATTTATTAGGCACCGAGTAAATAAAAATACTTACTTTGCTGGTGGTCCACAATACTTTCCCGATGGGGAACCGTACTGGATAACGGTAATGTCACCCCCTTTCACTATATCACTTCCACCCAGATAATGTGTTTCATGTGTCCGCACACTATCAACCCCGGATGTAGGCTTACAACTCGGGCTACGAGGATGTAGCTCGCCCAATATACATTGGATTGGTTGGGCAGTCGATTGGCTGTAATCACTGTCACAATGAAATGTTACACTTGACCCATTTGCAATCGTTAATCCAGCCCTGTATCCTGACATGTATTGGCCATTTGTTATTTTCGGAAGTTGACATGGAGCTACGAAAATAAGGAAAATGTTAATGTTCGACTTTTCTTAGATTCTGAGTCTGACAAAATAGTTATTGTTAAAGATAGTGCTTTAACCTCTCAACTGATTTCCCGAAGTCTCTACTTACTTGGTTTTCCAGCTTCTCTCTGAGTTTTAAAATAATTTACCAATTTATACAATGTTATTAAAGTTTAATTTCCTCAGTAAAACCTCAAGAGAATTAAAGACCAATACGTCCTGGAGGAAAACATCCCAATATTTTTGTTAGTACTTGTACTGAACTACCTCCATAAATATTTGAAATTTTTTTACAATAATTTCTAAAGTAATATTTTTTAAATTATACATTTTTAACATTAACTTTTGTTCTTTGTTTCACCAGAAATTATCACTTGAAAATTGCAGCAGTTCTTAAATGCAGAAACATCAGAACTATCCTTCATTACGTGAGTTTATCTTTATCAAAGAGACAGTTTGAATGTTTACTTTATTTATTTCAATAAGATACCTATATAGATATAGGTATAATTCAATGCCGGACAGAGAGTAATTGTTTTCTTTTAATATCATTAATTACACAGCCCCACAAAAAATAATTTTCTGTACATCGGACTAGACCAATATATCCATATGTTTCGGAGGCCGCTGAATCCGAATCCGAGGTCCGTTTGACGGGTTAAAGGTCATTTCAAGCTCAAATACAGAAAAATCCCCTATGAGGGGGGCAACCATGGTTATTATAATATGTTTTTGGGGTCGCTGAGGTCTGTTTGGCCTTGTTAGGTCAGGTTCAAGGTTATTATAAGGTCATTCCAAGGTCAAACAGAAAAATCCACTATAGCGGGGTCAACCAAAGTAATTAAAAGTTTTTTCGGGTCGGTGAGTCCAAATTAGGGTTCCTTTTGTCTCTACCGGGTATCAATGTCATTTTGAGGTTAAACTGAGTAACTTCTAAATAGGGTTTAGTGGGAATACTACGAGTTCTTTTGGTCGCCTTATTAGGACTCCATTTGATCTTGTTGCATCAGGGTCAATGTTATTTAAAAGCTACTTAATTCTAATACCTATTAGTTGGCTTGTGTTACAAAGCAATTTTTGCCTCGCTCTTCTATAATGGACCGAATGACTCTCAACATTCACGAGTCTTCACATTAGCATGATCTTTTTGAGTCACATTTGAAAATCCGACACTATAATTTTATACAGCATTACCTATTGGTTACTAACACTTTCATCCTTCGCGGAAAGAAAGGTTTTGGATAGTTGCCGTGCCTGAAGTTAAAGGATAATTTTGGTAGACAGTTGGGTGCGTTACATGGTACATACATGTCAACAATACGATAATATTCGTTTCTTATTCTATGGTGAATGATGAGTATTCACATTCCATTAATGATAAATTTTTTATAACTCGTACGTAATGAAATTTTTACATGTAGACTGCCCGAATATCTCTGCATTACTGGACATGAAATATCTTTACTGACAAGCCTAACTCCATTAAAATCATCAAATTGTAATCATCATTAAAATCATCAATCATCTAAGTAAAAGTGTAATTTCTATGATGGTTCTAATAGAGCCTTTACAATTCTGCTACCATGAAGGATACTGGAAACAATGACAACTGCTCCAAAAGGAGATGTGTAGAATGATGAAACCGATATAGTGATTTTTCTCGATTTGACCTTAACATGACCTTAAATCTGACCTGACAAGGCCAAGTGGATCTCGGATTCGAACTCAGTAACCCCATAAACATATAATAACCATGGTTGCCTCCACCATAGGGGATATTTCTCGGTTTGACCTTGAAGTGACTTTTAACGTGACCTGAATCGGACTCGGCGACCTCGAAAACATAAAGGTATAGTTGGCTAGTCCGATGCACAGATTTATTTTTGTGGGGCTGTGTTATTAATTAATAACGTGTCTCTGGTGTTGCAGCTTTTAGCATATCTTGATATTAATGCCAAAGTAACTCCTATAGATAAGAATTTTAGAAAAATTTTATTTTATTTACATAATATTTTCACATGTCTGCCTCCAACTTTGTTAAATTATATATTACGTTTTTTAACAATATAATAGAAAACTTTTATTTATATTGTATTTGGCATATGTTTAAAAGTTTTAAACAATATTTTGACCTATATAATAACAATTGTAAAAGAAATGTAATAATTCACGTTTTAATGCCGTTATCTGAAGATGGGGTTAAACCCGAAACGATCGTAATGAACAATATAAACTATGTGCGTTTTTTTACCAGTATCCCAGGAAATAAATAATTTTCAATAATAATAATTAACTAATTATATGTTTGTAAACATTTAAAAAGAAAATTTCCATAAAATTTAATGTAACATCTGATTCCAATAGTACCAATTTTTGACAGGTCACTTTATTTTATTTAAGTTGCAATCGATGCCGTAGAAATATTTATACAGACAAATATAAATGTTACATCTTTATGTTGGGCACGCAATGTAATAGAAAAACATTGTACCCTCGGTCACGCACCGTTGAAAAGCAATTTTACTTATTGCGATTTCAGTTGGTGCTGATACAACCAGATTTCTTTTTTATACATAGATACGTTTTTTGAATAAACGGACCCGGACATCGAAATGGTTTTAGGCAAAAAAGATTTCACTGAAACTCATTTCTTTCTACCCACCAGACAAGGTTTCCATTCAATTAGGTTTAAATTTATTGTTATTTTTATTGGGTAGCAATGTTCCCCCTAATTTTTTCGCTGACTGCGCGGTACAAAAGTATATGGGAGCAAAAATGTTTAAAAATTTTTGTGACCCTCTAAATTTTACTTTTTTTAGTGAAATTTGGGTTTTTGGCCATTTTTAGATGCAATTCTTTTATAAAATGAAATTTTAAAAAATCGTGAATAAGCCCATTGTGAGCATAATATAAAAACGGCTGCGAAATATCGAAAAATTAGTGCGCGACTGCGCATCCACACAGCAACTTTGTTGGGTAATCTATATAAGGATATTTAATCGGGAAAAATTTTGTTGTTAACACAATTACATTTAACATTAATTTATACGTGAAGTCAAAGTCATTATTGTTATTTTAAAAGTAATTACATATGCCTGTCTTAAAAACAAACAATTTTTGAGAAATGTGCTTTGAATTCTTTTGAGAACTTTTATATATTTTTTGTTTTAAATAGATTATATAAATGGATTGAAGATCACAACACACAATTAACAATTAAAGTAAAAAACATTTATATAATAAATGTCCGATATTTATATTTTATTCAAAATAAAAAATTTCAATTAATTTATTTGCAATTTTTCAAGATACAGTGTTTATTTTGAACATTAATACTCTCATATTTTAGAACGCATTATATTAACAATGTATTACCGCACAGTATAGTTCTGTATACTACATTTCTACATAATAAATTAATGTTTTATACAAGATTTGTAGTTTTACACTCGTATTTTCGGGTCTAATGACTAAGGTATTGATTAAACTGATTGACGTTTCGAGAGACATACTGGTTTCTTCAGGAAAACAATTTCTGGAACGGGGCAAAGGATATTGTTTAAAATTGTTGCTGAAACTGTTTGAGTTTCTTCTGAAGAAAAAAGCGATATGTCTCTGGCAACGACAAGAGACCTTAACCAACGATGTGGCAAATTTGATGTAAAATTCAAAAGGAAGTGAAAATGACCAATGAAACGTTAATCTTGATGACTAAAAGAAACTGACAAATGAAGAAATATAAAAAAATGTAGTCTTCACTTGTAAGAAATAATTGGAATATAATTAAAAATGGTAGAGTTGCAGCTCTTGTGACTTATGAACTCACGTACCTACTACCGCTGAAAATGTCGATACAGAGTGTTATAGATAAGGAGGGCTATGTCTAGAGAGCTCAGAAACTTCGCAAAAATAATAAATCTCACAATAATATTTTTCGTTTTCCAAATATAGTAATCGATGCACTCACATTTTCTTTTAGAATTAAGGAACGCTGTGTTCGATTTACATAAACTTTCTCGACTAATCGTTTGCGATGTAATCGATAGATTGTATTTAAAAAAATCTACAGAGAATATTCAAATTTAATATAACTTTTTGTAAAGTCAAAATAGAGTAATGGTAAAATGAACAAAAATAACTTTCTACGGGGTGTTCAAATTATTTTCCCGTTATTCCTATCGAATTGAGACAAGAGTGCCTTTTTTGTTTATTTTTGATATTTTGCCTTTCATAAAATCGATATCCTGACATCTAGCTGATGAGATCAATTTTTTTTCTCCATTATCAGTAGGTATGTTGCAAATAATAAACCTGAACTTCTTCCCAAATATCATGTGAATTGAATACAATTTTCCGAATAAAAATATAGTTCTTCTGGAGTATATTTCACGAACAATATTTACGAAACTACGGATTTTATGACAGATTATTATCTACATAATGATAATAATTAAATATATATACATATATTATATGTATATGTATTTGTGATAATTATCTGAAACATAAATGTTAATTATAATTTTAAATTAGATCGCTACTAGCCCAGAGAATAAAGATAAAATTGAAGTAAATATACTACTTGTTATTAAATAACTTTTCTACGTAAAACTTATAAACTTAACAACCTTATGTATTATTCTCAAATTACGATTATAAGTATATCTACGACCTCTTGTAATCCTTACCGATTTCATGGCACTGAAATTATAGCGAATTTTATTTTTTACCATTTCTAACTATTTTTAATAGCACTATCTATGATTATTCATTAAATGAAAAATCATTATCTACGTTCTTTTAGTTCCAAGAGCGATAGTTATAGGTATATTTTTTCAACACTGTTGTGATATTTTATCCCCCTTTATTTATATCATCAACCTAAGCAAACATTTATTATGATCCTGTAGGCACTATAAATGTAAATTTGCCTTTTTTTCTCTGAATATGTCGCTTCAGGTTTTAAATAATCAATAACTATGCAATTTCTTAAGTCGTTGATATGGCAGCAAATTGTAAACCTATTACCCTTAGTAAAAGTAATCTGCTTTACTCGGCTTTCAGAAAAATACGGAAAAATATTAGCACAAAAGATGTTATTAAGGAGATTTTTTTTTTTGTTCAAGACTTTATTTGATAAATCATAATATTCTGTTCAGAAATTAAAAGGTATTGAGGTAAGTGATTTAACACCTCAGATTTTAAGGAACTTTATCTTACATTCTTACATTGTGTAGAAAAGTAGATAATTCTTTAAGTAAGAGTTCCCCAACGTAGTATATTAGGTCCTATTTTGTTTTCTATTTGTGTGAATATCCTAGGTGTTTTAGGTAATAAGGAGAAAATAATATGTTGCACTGTTCATAGGCACAAGTATCAAATTAAAAAAATCGTTGTAATGAACCAGTATGCTATATAAAAGCATTGTAAGGTATAGGTCATTAGGATTATTTGCTATTTAGAAGAGCTATATACCCATGAACCGTTATGAAAATATTAGATGGTTAGAGGTAATTTTGCAAGTGATTTATGTGAACGATACCTATCCATGATGACAACGTACCTGCAGTACATTCTGGGAAACTGGTAACCGCCCAATCACCGTGCCAACACCTCAAATTACTAGGACCCTGTACATTATAACCTTCCTCGCAACTAAATTCTACTACTTGCCCATTTGCAACATCAATAGTTTCATTCAAGGGTTGATCGGGATCTATGTTTAAATCCAGGGGTGTTTCGGCTTTAGACAATTTGTAAATACCATGCGGGGTAACGGGTACAAAACAAGGTACTAAAATAATTCAGGTAGGTATAGGTACATGAAAAACAAAAAAGGACGTTTTTGATATTTGCTTAGGGGGCGGTATGCACATATTTATTTGAAAAATTGTTTTGTTTTAATTTGGATTAGTTTTGATACCTGTCTGAAAATATAATTTTTTTATTGATTTCAGTCTCGTTTTATGATTATGTACTGGAAATTTTGATCAATTTGATTCCAAGCCAGCTTTTAGGTATTGGTTAAGACCAGTGACTATAACAAGAATATAGTCACTGTTAAGACTTACTTAACTAATTGAAGCAGAAGATTGTGAGTTAACTTAGTTCAGATATACAGGGCCTCCTATTCCGACATATTCTTCCACTGTCCTGGTGATATCGGTACTACAAAAAATATTTCCAGTAAACGTTGTTTCAAATCAATTTTTTCATATGTCAAGATTGTATTAAATTATACAAGGTGTCCCATTTCTTCTGGGCTCTACCCTTATCTAACTTATTTTTTTTAAATTACTTTTTATATTTCAGCATTATTGCATTCAGCAGTTATTGTTGAATTTAAGGCTTATTTTAATAAAAAGATATTAGGCATAAGTCGCACCATTATGGAGTTATATATGTTACTGTTAAAAAATACCTTTAGAGCATCCTTAAAAATATCAAAATATTCGAATACGAGCAGAGTACTGTAATCATTTAAACGACGACAATAATTTATTAGGATTAATGCTTTATTTGAATGAGGCATGGACACATTTATTTAATTATGTAAATATTCAGAATTATAGAACTTGGGCTGAAGAAAGATGCATAACTTTATTAAAACATCGTTACATCCTCAGAAGATCTGGGCAGCAGTTTCAAAAAGACGGATTATAAGCCCAATTTTTTCCAATAAATGGAGAATGACGATGAATGCAGTATGGTATTCTCAACATGACATATAGCACATACTGCAGCAAAAACTATAACTACTACTACTAGGTTTGTGGCCTGATCGGAGCCCTGATCCATAACATTAAATTTTTGTTTGGCCGTATCAAAAGTAACATATTTAATATATGTATTTAAAAATCCTCTCTACACTCTTGCTGGAAGCAGCAATTGAACATGAAATTAAATTATAACACTAAATGAACTTAAACATGTTGAATGCATGAAAAATAGAGTAAATTTATGTTTAGAAAACAAAGATAGTAATTTCCAACATCTATTGATAATTTGGATAATACAATAAGATTGTTTTATCTTCTATGCCGCTGCCTCAGAATGCTTTTCACGTTCACGTCACGTTAGTATACTGTTGCCTTTGTTATCGTGCGGATGTTGCGTAATTAATTCCTATCCGTTTGTGTTTATGGTGGTTTATTGTAGACAACTTAATTTGTTGCTTTTTTAATAAGCATTATAATTTACTAATAATTTATATTTAAATATTGAAAAACGTTTATAAAACAACAATTGAATTTATGATTTTATACATCTTTCAAAAAATTTCAATAGTTTCTAAAATTTTTGAGAGTGGAATATGACTATTTTGTAAGTAAAACTATAAAAATTATTTTTTCAGTTAAAAAATAAAATGCAGATTAAACTTTAGCTTTTATAAAAAAAAATGTACATTAATATGTACTCCACTGGACTATTTTCTGTCTTCGGATTGCATTTGGCGTAAATATTGTTGCCTACAGACGGAACTCAGGCATTGTTGAAAAAAAAAGTGACAATGTGAATTTTTTTGAGAATACAAAACCTACTCAAAGTAAAGTATCAAATAATAATAGCTTCCGCAATAATACAATTAGCAATAAAAATATGTTCATTGCTATCTCAGTAATCGTTGTCATTCGCCCATATGTAACAAACATGACTTTTTGTTCAATTTCACCCTTCACTTCCTCCGAATATTGAGTTTTTCCCCGACTACCTAAATACAGAAGAAAAACCAGAAATCAGAAAAAAAGAACGTTGCTTAGTTTGCTAATTTTATATTGTCAATAATGAAGAAATTAATTTTGTAATTTGGTTTATGATACTCTTTTAAAAATTGGTATTTCTTCTCAACTAATGGGACATCTTAACCAATACCTATGGGAAGTTGGACAAATGCAATGTTTTTCGTTTCTTACAAATTTGATTATTAAAATTGTTATTCATAATAGCAGTTTATTGATGTTAGAAGTAATATGTGAAGAATTAACCATTCATCTTTTTGTGAACAAATGACGCTAAAAAAAAGATGAGGCATCTATTCTGGATGCATCCTATTTTGACTACCTAGACGTTGGTGACCATAGTTTTTTTCTACATTCTATAATTTAGCAGAAAATAGCAAAAAAATCAAAATACAGACATTCTACTCCAAATTGTATTCGTATTATCACAAATACTTCAATAAGATCTTATAAGTTACAATTTCCTAACAATTTCAAACAATTTCATAATTTAACTCCCCTATGCAAATTCAGAAACCTGCTAATTGTAATATATGGGTACTAATACTCATAACTATTTTAAACATAAACGGTTTCCTTTCTAAATGCTACCCTTTAACAATCAATGAGTGAACTTACATATCAGACACATCGGCTTCGTTGGCCTCCATCTTCCTCGAACACATTTAGCAGTTTTGTTTTCGGGCATGTTTAAACCATATCCCTTTCCGCAAGCCATTTTAACAATAGTGCCAGGACTAAACGACACGTTCGGATCTCTGCCGTATTTCACAACTTCCACATTTACAAATGGCTCACTAGATAGAGGTTCGCAAGGACCTCGGTTCTTGTGCTTAGGCCTTTTAGTTTCACCCAGTTCATTAGTCGGCTTTTCGTCGTCTATATTATTTTTAATTTTCTTACTGGTTCTTCTGAGACTCAGTTGGGAGCCAGAGCTTTTATGACTTGTTCCAAGTGCTCTGCTACCGCTACCGCCCTTTAATGCTCTTTTAAGCCGTTTTCTAGAATGTTCTGCTAAGACTTTTGCTATTCTAGCTGATAATGAATTATGCGGTACGTTCCGCTCTTTGTTGTTATTTACTAAGAAATCATCCCATAAATGGTGCAGATAATTGTGGATATATCTTTTTTCTCTTTGACCATAGATAATTTTGTGGTGACGAATGAACGCTCTTTTATATTTCTCTATTATCACGGAACGCTTTCTTCTATTCCATCTGAGCCTTGGATGTTGCACAAGAATGCATCTAAAACGTTAATTAAAGGTTATATATATTTAATTATAGAAATACAGATATCTATCGGTATATGACCATTAAATAGAGCCCTGCCTGACATTCTTTGATTTCTTTAATCATTTCAGACGTGAATTTCTACTTTACAGTATCAAAATAGCAATAAAAATAAACGCATCTTCTTATGGAAAATAAATATAAGCATATTATATGGAAAATAAATATAAGCATATTCAACTTTTAGTATAAAAAGTAAGCCGCTACTCAGGTTTAGTTCGACTTGGCTGCATCGGATTTCGTCAATAAAATATATTTACTACTGATATTAGAAGCTGCGATCAAAAGCAGCACGACACAGTTGAATGGTAGTAGTAAAAATTCTATACTAATTTACATTTTTTTATAGATGAGTAAAATGTTTTATTAAGGTGATTACAAACATACAGCATTTACCACCCTAAAAAAAAAACAGAACATAAATTTCGGATAACAACTGTAATGTACCTGCGCTGCTTCTAAATCCACCTTATTATTTTGTCAAGAAGATTCACGAATGCATTTACCATAATTTCCAACAGAATGATGATATCCCACCAAATTGATTTATGAAATTCCGGGTTAAGGGATGTGTGGCATTTTAAAAAATTATGTATAAACGAAGAGAATAATATATCTATTATCATGTTTAATCTATGACAGAAATTTTAAATAAAGAAAACTGCATCAATTGCGTTTTGTTTAAGTAACTAATAAGACTTGAAGATTTGTTTAATGACACACCTTCAGCCAAACACTGCTGTTAAAGTACTTTAGTTGTTAAAAATGAATGCGTACACAATTCAACAACGAACATTTTGTTTGCAATGGAAAACGAACGGGAGCTCCTAAAAACTGTGTGCACTGCTGAATCCACAGCGATCTATACGATAGTAATTCTTGATTTTTCCGAATGAAATGTCCAACAAATTCTCCATAAAATGAAGCACTATCCTTATAAAATGGACCTTGTTTATAAGGTTCTGTTAACTGAGAATGATAAACATAACCGTCTTCAGTTTTGTATAGATACATTTTTTGATCGAGCATATGGATACCACACAGCGTCTCTTTATGAATGATGAGGCTCATTTTTATCTGAATGGTTATGTAAACATACATAACTTTCATAAATAGATCAAGAGAAAATCCATGTAAAATTCAAAGATCAATGTATTTGCGAAAGCGACAGTATAGTGCGCCGTATCGAAGTTTAGGAGAAAATGGTCTTTACATCACTATAACTCTACATTTTAAATACTTTTCTTAGGCCTCAACTGGAACAGTTCCATGGAAATTATTGGTTCAACCAGCAAAAATTTTCATGAAAGTACTTTTCGATCAACAGTTAATTTCACGTGATGGAAAGATCATTTGATCTTACCAAACCAGACATTTTTCATTGGGGCCATCTTAAGCTCAGGGCGTTTATGAATAAATTTGTGTTAACATTAATGAACTTAAGAGGAATGTATGTTATACTGTTCTTATTAAAATTATCAAAGAATTTTTTAATAAAGTTTCACTAGTTATAAATGTTTGACTCGCTCTATAATTTTATAACATTGATTAGTTCATAATTAAGATATGAATGAACTTTACAATTAATTACAATTATTAATAAAAATAGGTAAATTAATCTTGTCAGGTTCGATTTTTAGTAATGACACTACCACCTCAGTAGTCGAAACCGAAATGGTTGATCTATTTAACTTTAGTCAAGTCAAACGGTTTGCATCCATAATTTATCATAGGCTAAAATTGGCTAATTAAACAAGGAATTTCCTTATCTAAGAGCTAATTACGTCTTTATTACTGAAAACATGCCTTGTACAACTTGCTAAATTACTTAATTACTTGTTTGCTAACTCTTATAGTAGTTTGAAATTTGATTTTTAATTCAAAGTTTAAAAGGAAAATCAATATTAATAAGAAAATTCCATTTCAATATACCTATTTTCCAAAAGAAATTCTGACCAAATAGATGCCTTATATTTTCGAGTAGACTACGTGCTTACGAAAATACCCTTGGGTAACTGACAGTTCTATCTTCTTTTATTATTTAACTTTAATAATATGTAATACTAAAGACTAGGGAGTTAAATTTAGATTATAAATGCAGTTTTTTTAAACACCTAAACATAACAGCTGTATAGATATATAGTCGTACGAAAGTAACAAATTAAATATTTGATAATATGCATACTTTGGAAGTTGTCTCGGACTCCACTGTCCTCCAATACACGTCGCTCCTGGAGGACCTTCTGCCAATATATATCCTTTATCACAATCATACATTATCTGCTTATTGTTAGTAACTTTTTTCACATAAGGCCTATAATCATACAGGCCCATATTGCCCACTAATAGAATCTTACCATTTTCTACTATTCCAGGATAGGGACAATAAACTAAAAATGAAATAAAATTGTGATGTTAAAGTGTTTTCTATACAATATATATCTTACCTTCTTCACATTTCGGCACTTCTCCAGTCCAGTTTCCAAACGAACATTCCATTAAATGTTGACCTTTTAGCTGATAACCGTCCTTACATCGAAATCTTGCCTTCATTCCGTGTTCCATCTTGGGTGCCAGAACCATTCCATTTCTAGGTGACTTTGGCAAAAGCTTGCACCTTTAATACAATAAACTGAGTAAACACTCGCGCAAAAATAATAATGAAATCTCACACTTGCAAAGAACCCCTGGAATTTCAATTTCGTGTGGCAGAAGAATATTTAAATTTTAGCAAAACGAGATACTCTATCTTTTATAATCAATATAATTCCAGAAATAATGTCAAGTGTCCCATTCTTCTCTTTAAATTCCGTTAATTTTAAAGAACCACACATTTTTTATGTCAAATTGTGTTGCATATTTTTGGTCCATGTTATATAAAATCAAACTCTCTTTTATTTAATATACTCAGGCATTATAAGGGTTCTTGACATATTTACAACTCCTTATGTTTTCAGAATTCGTACCACTATTAAAATAACCTTGAACGTAAAATATTTAACTAAAAGTTTGTTTAAAACAAGTACTTAATGCTTATTACATCTTTATATTTAAGCAATAAGATTTAGATTATGTCTAAAAAATTGTCTTTTTTTAATTACTATTGTTATTAATATTATTTCATACTTGAATAATAAAAAAATCTGCTAGTAACTAGTCCCTATTTTTCTTCAGGAAATGCCATGTTTAATAATAATTGTAGATTCAAATATCCGGAAAAGTATTTGATTTTATTTCATTTTGATTGAAAACAAATTTGATTCTGTTTTCTGTTTTCGTGCTAGAATATTAATATAGTCATGAGAGTAATAAGATGTATGGGACGTTTTGTTTAAAATAAGGAAGTAGACTTCTACTTCCGGAATATAAAGAATCGAGTTGGCAATATGTGAAGAAAACGCATCGAAAAACCTCCCTTTATAAATTATCGGATTTTAATGTTAATTCTTCGTCTATGCACCCCTAACCAAAGAGCAAAGTTCATGATGACACTCATCAGACATAACAAAGCTCAATATCACTCAGTAGAACAAAATTATATACAGCGTGTCCCACTAGTGCGGGAAAGTCCAATATCTATGTTAAAATGAGGAATATATGGATTTTTCTTTTTACTGTGTTGCCACATTTCTCGGAATGTACAAATTAAAAATATATTCAACTATACAGGGTGTTCCACTTTTCCTGGACAGACACCAACTTTGGTTTTTTAAATGGAAACACACATTTTTTATATTTTTTTCGGATTCTACATAAAAAATAAAGGGTACTTTGTGTAGAATAGTTCTATTCAAATATTCACAGTTTTTGAGATATCTCGCTTGAAAGGTTTTTCTAGTCGATATTGGTTGCTTACATTTTCTGATACTGACAGGTTATACTAATAGCTACTAAGCCCATTTTTTTATCAGATGTTTAGTAAGGATGACTCTTCCGAATCATGCTCCAAAAACTGGCCTGCGTTATACAGGGTGACCAAAATATCATGTCAAAATTGCCAATTGAAAAATTGAAAAATCTCGATTTTTTTAAATGCAACGCCCTGTATATTTTCATACCATGAGATGCAGAATTAAATTCTCTACAACTTTGCTATACCTGCTCCTATACCAAAATTCATTAGTTTTTCATGAAATCTCATTTCTATGAAAAAATGCGAAGTTTACAAATAGCTTATATGTAAAATAACGTAGTAGGCTCCTGTCAAAGGATAATCTGTAAAATTTTCGATTCACATAAGGTTTAATAGAAAAGCGACAGTAATAATTGTGAAATGAATTACTCTAAAGAAGAATAAGTAAATATGGTGTACGCCGTAGGAGAAGCTCATGGTAACTGTTTATTGGCAAGTCGTATTTATCAAGCTAATAATCCAGATTTACAAAGATATCTTCGTACAAAGTGTTTTGTAAAACTGAAATGCAATAAATGAAAAACCGGCAAAAATGAAATAACGGCAAATGCAAATTATGAGAAGACAACAAGAACACACGCAGGCAGTAATCAGGATAGTTAAATTGACATTTTGGGATGTAAAGTCCAAAATACATCTACAATTTTCTTGACATAGCCCACATGATTCCAAGCAACTTTTATTAAAACTATTTTTCTATAAATTTTACAGTTGCAGAGTTACAGAAAAATCCCTCTTAGGTGGAACACCCTGTATATTACAATTATATAATGAATAATCATTGAAATAAATACCTGGCTGGTTCACATTTGGGAATAAAGGTCCATGTGCCGTTGTTGCAAGTGACTGGTGATAAACTAGCCAAAAATTCATATTGGGGGTCACAGTCGACGGAAAGAGCCTCACCGTGTTGAACTACAGTAGAAGTCGGCGCCGTATCATTTCTGGATAACAGGATTACTCGTCCTTGGGATACGTGAGGTACCACACAAGGTGCTGTAAAAAATATAATTTGTTAAACAAACAGAACGTTGTCTAAATTCGCATTTCTCTAAAAATGTACTTTCCGTCAATTGGAAAGAAAACAAAGATATACATTTTTGTACACAGATGAAATGAAGAATATATTTTATTTGTGTATAAGCAGACCCTCATTTTAAATTAAATAAACTATATTCCATCAGGGAAGCATTTATTGAATGAAAAAATTATTTTACTTAGTTTAAGATTAAGCATGTTTATAGATGCATGTAGATAAATGTAGATATTCTTGATTCAAGACAATATATCTGTGTTAATTTCAGTCAGTGTACAATGATTGAATTTCAAACGTTTATAGGCAGGAAGTTTATACGTAGCATCTACATTTCGTAGCTATAACCCCAACTGTTCTGAGGATTTTATGATTTCAAAGCAAGACGAAGTTGCTAATAATGTAACTTTAGCTCTAAGCTCCTGCAATAACTTTAAACTACATTTAGCAACATAAAGGATACCCATAGTGCTAACTATGGCGCCTAAGTAGAGAGAATATAAAGTCTCAGCCATAGCAGGAAGGGTGGATAAATAAAATTTAAGTCAGCTTGTTATATGTTGGTCTAATTACAGCATGTTTACGTAATGTGTACTAGCTGTTATTTTTTTCAGCCACAGTAAATCCAAAATAATTTGTTATCTAGTTATATTTGGATAATAGCGCTTAGGGTAACATCAATTTGCTGAAAATAATGCTAGAAATATACAAAGTGGTGATAAACATTAAAGCTTTTACTAGCAGTATTAGTTATTTTGAAGTTATAATGTCTAATGACTTGGAAACTGTCGAAGTGGTTGAACTAAACAATTTCCGAGCTAGTTGCTAAATATTTCCACAAAAATTCACATGCGAAAAATGAACATTGGAACTTGATCAAAATCTTTTTATTATGGTTCTATGATTAGATCGTTCAGTGTGGAACTTTGTACAAATGTAATACAAAGTTAAATCTAATGACTGGACTTTATGTCAAGCTAAAGTTCTAGCATCCATAGTTTTCATTAATGAAATTTTTAGGGCTTCCTTTTACTTCTAGATTTCTTAGCTTTACTTAAAATATGGATCAAGTTGGAAGAATCTAAGTACCATGCATTACTATTAAGAATATTAAAAGGACTCCGCACAAACATTATGGATTTCAGATCCCGGTGGATTTGTATGGATTTTTGATATTTTGAAACTGATGAAAAAGTGGATCAAAAAGGACCTGGGCACTAAGTCCAAAAAATTGACAGTTTTCAAGATACCGAGGAGCAAAGTCCCCTAAAATGAAACAATTCTTGGGACCGCACGATAATTAGATATAGGATTTTGGATCATATTATGTGCAATATTTTCATGTAGGTACATTTGGACCAATTAACTCCCATAATCTATATACTCTAATGTGTATACAGAGTGTCCCATTTCAAATTACACACCTGAATATCTAGTCATCACGGAAGCCACCAGTCCCAAAATAACCGTTATGAAAATTGTTGGGTTCGAAGGGGGACATCGAATGGTGACCTTCAATTTGACTTTCAAAGTCATTTGAAGGTCAAAATAATCTAATTTTATTAAATAGGAACCTCTATTTTTGACTCCAGATTCAAAAGAGCGCAAAATTGTACATTTTCTTTGGAATGACCTTCAACGGTTATTTCAAGGACAAAATATTTTAAATTTGGTATCTGAATATCTCGTCAGGGGAGCCACCATTCCAAAAATAACTCTTACAGAAGTTGTTGGGTTCGGAGGGGGACATCGGATGGTGTCCTTCAATTTGACCTTGACGAAGAAAAAGAGCCTTACGTACCTATCTAAACGTAAACGAACGTATCTATCTAAACGTAAAATTTTGTGCTCTTTCCGAAACCGAGGTCAAAAATAGAGGTTCCTATACAAAAAATTAGATTTGACCTTCAAATGTCAAGGTCACATTGAAAGTCACCATCCGGTGTTCCCCTCCGAATCCAACAACTTTTTATGAGACATTATGAGATATTTAGGTGCGTATAAGGGTAAATGGATTATGGGAGTTAATTGGGCCAAATATACATGAAAATATTGCACTTAAATATCTATTATATTCCAAAATCATATAGCTAATTACCGTGCGATCACAAGAAATGTTTCATTTTAGGAGACTTTGCGCCTTGATATCTCGAAAATGGTCCATTTTTGGACTTTGTGCCCATTGACACTTTTGATCAGGAGAATATCTAATACTAAATATCAAAAATCCTGACAAATCCACCGGGACCTGAAGTCCATAAGGTTTGTGTCAGGTCCTTTTCAAATTTTAATACATTGATATTGATAAAAACATTGTGTTTTGATATTTATGTACAATTAAAAGTATTATTATAATAGATATATTTGAACTTTTAATTAAGTGACTCATTTCAGCCACGGGACAATATATCTTTATTTACTTGTTATAAATTTGAAAAGAGAATAGATATTATCTAATATGTAATGTGCTGAAGTGAAATATTCTTCAAAGAGCATTACATGCTAATGAGCCATCTATCACGTACCACAACCATTTGCGTTATTATCTGGTATCGTGAAACTCTTTAAATATTAAAGTCATTTTTCATGTTTATCCGCAACAAGACAAAGTAAGCATTTTCCTTTAAAATGTTGATGCTTGTAGATTCCAACAGAATTAATTATTAATATACAGGGTGTTTCAGAAAGACCTCCCGTAAATTCAGGGGGTGATAGTACGACAAAGAATTAGAATTTTTTGTCATGAATTATATGTCTATCTCCTCTTGTTTTCGAGATACAGAGCGACAAAATAAAAATTTTTAAATATAATTTTTACGAAAATTTGGTATTCCGGGATTTTTAAGGACGCCAAATACGCTGGTCTAATTATTTTTTGGATATTTCATAGAGGGCGCTAGTTATGCTACATTCCTATTACATTTTAAGTTCTAATTTTTTTAAGGTTAGGTTTTTTACCATTCGGGCTCCAATTTCTAATGTACAATTTTATTTTCTAAAAATAATGTACTCTTGTTAGAACTTCCTAATGTGGACGGTTTTCGAGAAAAAAGGCTTTTAATTGAACTCTTACAATATTACGGTGTAGAAAATAAGTGACTTTTCTCAAAGTAGGCTTATGTCAAAACTTATTGATGGATGTCTCATAAACAACGCATACATTCTCAGTAATATTTTAAACTCTAATTAACTTTATATCAAAATTTTAGTGATTGTTAGTGACTGTAGTTAGTAATGACTAATTACAGTCACTAAAATTTTGATATAAAGTTAATTAGAGTTTAAAATATTACTGAGAATGTATGCGTTGTTTATGAGACATCCATCAATAAGTTTTGACATAAGCCTACTTTGAGAAAAGTCACTTATTTTCTACACCGTAATATTGTAAGAGTTCAATTAAAAGCCTTTTTTCTCGAAAACCGTCCACATTAGGAAGTTCTAACAAGAGTACATTATTTTTAGAAAATAAAATTGTACATTAGAAATTGGAGCCCGAATGGTAAAAAACCTAACCTTAAAAAAATTAGAACTTAAAATGTAATACGAATATAGCATAACTAACGCCCTCTATGAAATATCCCAAAAAATAATTAGACCAATGTATTTGGCGTCCTTAAAAACCCCGGAATACCAAATTTCATAAAAATATTTCGCACCGTTTGGAAATTTTCGTAAAAATTCTATTTAAAAAATTTTATTTTGTAGCTCTGTATCTCGAAAACAAGAGGAGATAGACATATAGTACATAACACAAATAATTCTTATTTTTTGTCGTACTATCACCCCCTGAATTTACGGGAGGTCTTTTAGAAACACTCTGTATAAACAAAACGTAAATTAATTTTAAAGTATAATTTGCTTTTTTGCAGATATTATAAATTATAAGTTGTATTTCGTATACAACAGTCACTGCTTGAATAAGAACATGTTGCATCTTCCAAAATAAATTCTACTATATTTCAGTTTAAAAATATCGGAACCGTTATGAAGCGCCTGAACAACTGCATAATTTATAACATGCAGAATTTGTCTGCAGGATCCGATATGGATTTGTTTTTCTGGTAATTCTAGCGTTCACATCAAGTCTTCATATAACAAAAAAAAACTTACGATAATAACTGGCGTGCCAAATATTAGGAGCAGTAAAAAATAGTTTTAAGGTACATTTAAGGTATTAATTTTGCCATATCTATGTATTAATTTATGAACTTTGTTATATAATAAAATAAATGAATTCATTTTAAATAAGGACATTCGCACTGTTAATGCGAAACAAAATTATGGATATCATAGGTTTCATTTCAGTATGACTCATATGCAATTGTTAAAAGAAAACTATGTTTCGGAACAATTCGCTACTACCTATGTGTACTCCAGTCCTGTAATAATAATAATGATAATAATAAGAATAAAGACATTTATTTCTAACAGGTATACATAGGTACACCCAATTACAGGAAACGCATGAAAAACGAAAGATATACATTGAAAATAAAAAAAAATCATAAAAAATACAAATACAAAAATATGAAAACAGATTTAAATTATTAATAGATGTCCATATGCTTAAACAAACATAACAGCAGTAAATCTACAAATTTAGAGAAGTAATGACACAATGTTTAATTGTGTAAAGACTGTCGGCATGAATATCACATTCACTACAAATTGCATTAAAATAGCTAGCCATTACACGTACCACCGATTTTATCAAAATGTTGCTGTGAGATGTATGCACCACAAGAAGACGTTCGTACCTACTTTGAAATCTTGGAACTAAAAAATATAAATATGCCAGTAACTCACTGCAATCAATTCTATCATGAATAATATTATATAAAAATGTTAATGCCATAATTCTTCGACTTAACTGTAAAGAAAACATATTAAATCTGTTTAATAAAATAGTGTTATCAATTCCCCTTTGGGGGTACAAACCATCCCCTTTAAAAGTATTTTA